AGCATCCAGACCTCTATGAGGAGCAGTGATCTTTGAGGCGACCGGCCGGCCGGCCTGCAGCGGGCCTCCGCTGGGACGGCGCTGCAGTTCACTGCACCAACATGGCCCTGGGTTTGGCTGACAGCACTCCACCTCTGAAGGAATCGCTCAAGTCCCTGCAGATTTTTATGAACCCGGTATTTGTGCACAAACACTCACTTGGCATTCGACGCGGCCGGAGCCAGTTCCCTGAGGCGGTGCAGCAAACTGCTTTATTTACAATCGCTCTTTTCTCGTCGTGTTCTCCGGGTTACAAAATTTCACGTTTGTTTTTTAAGGATTGGCTCCGTCAGGATGCCGTATTCTGCCTGGAGGGATGCTTAAACATGGCAGCATCCCTGCGGGGAAGCAGGTAGAAAAGACTGACAAGCTGACAGGAAATCAGATGCACTCTGCACACTTAGCCTTCATTAAATATTACATCACGCTGGCACATTCAGTACCAAAGCAGCCTTTCTGACTTCAACGTCACTGTTTTATCTGATATTTTTGGTCTTTAGACACAAATTTTAGTTGTATTTTCTATTTATTGGCTTTGTAATCAAAAACAGGAATTTCACTGCAAAAACAAAAAATCTATGTAATTTTGGTCTAAATTCCAGAGCAAAAATCTCAGTACATTGCAAATAAGACAAAACTAACTTCATAGCAAGATATAGAAACTTGTTTTAAATTAATTTCTTAATATAACTGAAAAGACATTTTTTCATGTTAAAAGTGAAAAAATCTGCAGTGGAACTAAAATTGTTTTTATCACTTTTTGTCTTATTTCAAGCTTATTAAGGTATTTGCACTGGAACCTATAAATACTTTTCGTGTTTCCAGACAGTTTCATAGATTTATCTCTGCACAGTTCTGCATTATGTCCGATTGTTTTCTCCTGTCCGGCTTGTAGGTTTGACGCTGTGTTTAGGTCCGTCGCCATGGTGATAACCCAGTTTGGGTGAAGCTTCAGCTGCCAAACTCAAAACGAATCAATGATTTCAAAGCTCATTCCCTCAGGCAGCACAACAAGCCCAGATCACCTCCCCTCCACCACCGTGCTGTGCAGGTTTCATAAGAGTCATCAGTTTCTGCTTTGCTCTAATTTTTCTCATTGGACATTTTTCTGTAATTATTGTAGTTTATTCAGATGCAACTCTGCAAACCGACATTATGCTGGAAAACTTTCTGAACACAAGCCTCAGGCTTTACAGTTTTTGTTCTTTGATTTGGGTTTTAATTGCTTCTAAAATCAAACCACAATAAATAAAAAATAAAACTCACCCAGCTGGTTTTGGGCAATAAGTTAATGTCTTCAGGTGTTTGGAAAATGAGGCGTTTCAAAAACCTCCTGATTGTTAAGTCACATTTCACAGGCATGCTGCGTTACCTAGCAACCAAAGCTGGGCTCCAGCACGTTTGGTCAGCTGGCTTTACCAGTGTTTTCAATGGCTGCTGGAAAAGACAAGTGTTTTATTATTGACTTATTATTAAGAAACCACTTGCTGCTTTCTTGTCGGCTGTGCAGGAGGCCCCATTTCTGCTTTTCGAAGATCTGTTTCTCACTTAAGTTTTGCTTCTCTCCAGAACGAGGAACATTCTCGTTGAGATTTCAAATTCAATACAAAAGTACTTTATTGATCCCAAAGGGAAAATAAATGTTATTAATTCAAAACCTTCAAAGAGTTATTGTAGATAGTAATGGCTATCTCAATAAACTTAGAAAGTTTTATAGTTTATAATTAATAAGTAATGTTCTCCTGAGAACGAGTTACCTTTTCTGAATTTATTTCCAAGCTCTGGTGGTTAAACCCTTCCAATCTGTAATTATTCTTATTTTGAAGTTTTCATTTTATTTTTTTTTACATTTGTGTGAATAAATGTGCTTCCATTTTCCTGGTCACACTTAAATCTAATAGAAGCAGCTGGGTTTACTTAGTTATTCCCTAAAATATCTGTGTTTGATCACATTTACATTTACAGCAGGGCTGAATCGCCATGAAAACCTTGTCACCGTTGCCTCTGAGTGACTGCGACGCTCATTAGTCGTACATCGGCTCCAGCTTTGCGGAGTCCTGCTGGCCGGCGATTATCTCTGCCAGGGTGACATTACTGAGACGGAGGGTGGCTCGGATCGCTGCAGTCCTGGGACTCGGCCGTAAACGCCGTGTAGAAATCCTGTCATTTTTTTTTTCCAGATGAAAGCTGTGACCTCTGTTCTAGCAGCTAACGATGGAGACGACCTTCACAGCATTTTGAGGCTCTCCAGACTGCTGTGATTAGCAGAGAGGTGACTGCTTAGATTGGAGCTCAGGGCATTTAACAACAAACTACACTGCAAAAACACAAAACCTTACAGTATTTTAGGTGTAGTTTCTACTGCAAATATCTTAGTGCACATGAAATAGGACAAAACTAACTTTTAGCAAGAAATGGGAGCTTGTTTTGAATCAATAAAACCCTAATATTGATGAAAAGTAGATTATGTCACATGGAAATTGATGGAAGTTGATCAAGCATGCTGGAAATCAGCTTGAGTTGCTAGGCAACGGGTGGAGTTCCACCGCGGTTGCTAGGTAACGGACAGTGCCACAGGTTTTTGAAATGGCTCATTTTCCAGCCACCAACAAATCATGAACTCATTGTCAAACAAAACAGCTGGGTGGTGTTTTTTAAAGCGCTTTGGCTCTTTTTAGAAATGGAAGTATAAAAACTGAAGCATGTCTCCTTTAAGCACCACTTCTTAAGTTTTCTGTGTGTTGAAGTTGGGAGCCCAGCTGTTCCCACATCCACCCCAGCTGTTAACCGTATCCTGTCAGCTCAACTGTGAGCTCAGGGTGACTTTCCCTCCGCCCCTGGCGCAGCCGCCATGATGCCTTCAGGTTCGGGGGATGAACAAACGCGGGATAAAGAGCGAAGCGAGGAAGGCAGTGATGAATGTCAGCAGGTACAGGCAGGCAGATGGGCCCTGGGGACCCCCGGCCGGTCCCTGTGGAGCTGCAGGCAGCCAAGTTCAGCATGAACTGCCCGGCACGGCGTCAGCACTTTGGGGGAGAAACTGGGAAAAGTGCTGAGGCAGGCAACTGCATGGGGAGATGAGGTGAAGTGGTGAAAATTTAACCACCCTGATGAAAGTTTAAGTGCACATGTTAAACAGGAGGTGACTGCATGGGACACGTTCACACAGTTTCTTCTGAATAGCTCCAGACTGCGCTGCAGACCCTGATTTCACCTGACACCGCACTAACCCTGGCAAAAGTAACATCCAACCCTGCTCCTAGTTTCTGCTTCCTCATAATTGGCGGAGAGGAAGCTGTTTGGTTTCAAGGACATCGGCAGCGTTTCTCTGCACTGCAGTCTGGCCGATAAATATGCCAGAGCCTCACATGAAGGAACCGGAAACCAGGGAAAGACGGGAGCCGACGTCTGCAGAGCTCGGGTGTAACTAGTTACATTTACGTTTTGGAAAAACGATTCTGTGGTTGTATTTTCATTATGAAGCATCACAACACTTAAAATATTAACTGGTTGATGTTTTGTTCTATGATGGCGTATTAGGGCCGTTGTAGATAGAAAAAAATAAGTAAATTTTCACTAAAAATTCAAAAATTTTCCACAAAAAAAACCAATAAAGAAATGTCTGAGTTTGAAAAGTTGAAAATTTGCAAGAAAAAAAATCATAAATGATCAAATTAATCTCAGAAATTAAATAAATAAACTGCAAATACCTCAGATTTACTGACAATCAGAAAATTCCCCGTTTTATTTTCAATTAATTTGGAAACTTGAAAACAGACCCATTTCTTTTGCCTAATCATGTTATTTTGTAGCTGTTATTTATATTAATTATTTTCATTTTGATCTTTAAAATACCAAAATCTTCGTATGAGAAATACCCAAAAAATATATTCCACTGAAAACATTTAAAAATTATTTGCAATAAGTGCAACTGTAATCATTAGTGCAAATATTGGGATGCAGGTTCTTAAACACAAACTCTTGATAAAGTGGTTCTGGTCCTGGAAACGAGCATCTGGTGCAGAACCGTTCAGAACCACAGAGACGTGAGAGCGGTGGTTACATAAGGCTCGCTGTGGGGAAACACACTCACTTCACAGTGTTGATGGAGTCTTTCACAGACCTGATAGGGTGTTGATTAGGATGTACGTTCCCACAAAGATCCAGAATGGAAGTAGATCCTAACGGGCTTTTCTGCCTCCGATTATCGCTCCTTTCTTTGACCATTCCTTCTGACTGAGCGCTGAATCAACTGGCTCCAACTTCTCTTTTTGTATTTCAATCACTAGCTGTGTTTCTCTTGGTCATATAATTGCACAATTTAACTTTTCTACAATAAATTGTGATGGTGTGATGCAAAAATGTGTTTAAATTGCAGTTTTGTGAAGTAAACCAATTTTGAAATGGTGATTAAAAAACACCTCATGCTGGCGCTACAGCGTTTCACCAAAAAATATGAGTTTTTTCAGAATTGGCTTGTTTCCATTGAGCAAATTTATTTCAGAAATTTCACCTTGTGCAACTGTATGGTAAATGGAAATGCGGCTGGTGTTCTGCTAATGTCTATCAAACACACTTTTGCTATTGCTGTGTTTCCATCAAATAAGAAAAACTATTGTATTCATAAGGAAATATATTTGTTCATGGAATAAATCAATAAAAAAAAATTTGTCTCACCACCATCCTCCAACTACTTCCTGTTGTTGTTTTCCTCTTCATCGTTCCACCAGAGGCAACATCTGGTTGTTAATGTGACATGAAAAAACTTTTTCCATTAACAGTTTTGCAAAATAAACCAATTTTGATTAATCCACCTCATCCTGGGTCCAACGTTCTTTGCCGTGTTTATATGAAGCAAATTTATTTTCAAAATGCTAAATTGGGTGATTATGTGTCAGTGGAAGCACGGCTAGTGAAGTTTTGTGAACTTTGTAATGGCAGCTGCTTTTGTCCTCCTGCAGGTGCGGTTCGAGCCTCTAGCATCTTCCCCATCCTCAGCGTTATCCTACTATTCATGGGAGGCCTGTGCATAGCTGCCAGTGAGTTCTACAAGTCACGCCACAACATCATCCTCAGTGCAGGGATCTTCTTTGTGTCTGCAGGTGAGTCAAGCAGCAGCAAAGTGAGGCATGGTGGACGAGAAACTCTGATTTTTGTACTGAAGCTTTAAACCATTTCATCTTTTGTATTGTTTTTTTTATCTTGTTGCTAGGCTAAACGTCACCCTTTGGGAGTCATTTCTAAAAATATGGTGTCCCTGACACACTTTCCTTTTTATCCATCAACATTTAACATGTCAAAATATTCTCTATGATTAAACCTAATAAATTGAAGAATACATTCTGCTCTTGGCATGACATTGAACATTTGATTAGAAAATAACTCTGTAAAAACATTTTCTGATGTCCCGAGGTGTAGTTTCTGGAGCAAATATGTTAGTACATTTGAAATAAGACAAAACAAACTTACAAGTAACTATACGGAAACACCTATGAGATTTATATTTGGGTTATAAAAAAGTACTAGTTCCACTGGCAGATTATTTCACTTATGCCACAAGACATTGTTCCACATTTTAAGTGTCAGTGGAACTAGTATCTTTTTCATCAATATTAAAGAATCATTTAAACAAGCTCCTATTGGTTGGTTAGTTGGTTGGTTGGTTGGTCGGTCAGTTGGTTGGTTGGTCGGTTTGTTGGTTGGTTGGTCGGTTGGTTGGTTGGTTGGTTGGTTGGTTGGTTGGTTGGTTGGTCGGTGGGTTGGTTGGTTGACTGGTCGGTTGGTTGGTCGGTCAGTTGGTTGGTTGATCGGTTTGTTGGTCGGTTGGTCGATTGGTTGGTTGGTTGGTTGGTCGGTGGGTTGACTGGTTGGTTGACTGGTTGGTTGGTTGGTCGGTGGGTACTCTGTTGCTGTTGTTTCAAGTGTACTAAGATATTTGCACTAGTAACTAGACCAAAAATACTTGGTAACATTTGTATATTTTTCTAGTATTTGACCTAAAAAGTCTTCAATCTAATCAATTGCCACTTGTTTTCAGCTGACACTTTCTCTTTTTCGTTTCTTTCCCTTTTTCTTCTAATCGACTCATGATTGACGATGATCCTGCAACGTCCTGCCAGGTCTGAGCAACATTATCGGGATTATCGTGTACATATCAGCCAATGCGGGGGACCCTTCAAAAAGCGACTCAAAGAAGAACAGTTATTCATACGGCTGGTCCTTCTACTTTAGTGCCCTTTCCTTTATAATTGCTGAGATGGTTGGCGTCTTGGCCGTGCACATGTTCATCGACCGCCATCGACAGCTGCGAATAGGGGCGCGCGCCGCCGACTACCTCCAAGGCTCGGCCATAACACGGATCCCCAGCTACCGCTACCGCTACCGGCGCCGCTCGCGCTCCTCTTCCCGCTCCACAGATCCGTCGCATTCCCGCGACGCCTCGCCCGTGGGTCTCAAGGGCTTCAGCGCGCTGCCGTCCACGGAGATCTCCATGTACACGCTCCCCCGGGACACCCTCAAGTCGTCTGGCACGCCCACGGCCACCTACAACTCCGAGAGGGACCACAACTTCCTCCAGGTCCACAACTGCATCCAGAAGGACCTGAAAGACTCGAGCCACACCAACACAGCGAACCGCCGCACCACGCCGGTATGAGAGTCCGAACAGGCCCGGCGACCCTGGAGACACGGGAAAGCCCTGTGTGCGCGGTATGCCCCCCCGGAGGAGTTGGATTTCCATGTTTATAGACATTTTGTTTTGGTTTTTATTTATTTTTGTTGAAATGCATGACTTCCATAGCCATTGTTGAGAGTTTCAACTGGACTTGTCCCGAGTAAGTGAAGATCTGTCATACTTTTGGACAGGTTTGTTTTATTTATTTATTTTTTTTTTTTTTTTTTTGACGATTCGGGGAACCAAAAATCGGGGTGGGAAGGGGCATCTACGAGATAATCAGTTCCATGATTTCATTGCCCTTGAGTTCGTTTGGAGCAAAAGGTCAAGCTCCCCCTCAGCCAGCTTACCGCTTAGCTACATGCGCCCTTTTTTATATTTATTGACTCATCTGTTAATTTTTTTGCATTAAAACTGTGAATTGTTACAGCTTGGGATTCAGTAAGAAGTACCCCAATCTGTAATCTCTAACAAAGGTACTATATATATATATAAATATATGTATTACTTTTATAAATAAATTATTACATTAATAATCGAGCGATAACAGACTTTACCGAAGCAAAAAACAAAAAAAAAGTGAAAAAATTCAACCAAGTGCTGTTGATAATACAAGAAAAGACTTTTCTATCTCTTCAATTGAAGGTCAAGAACAAGCGAAGGTCCTTTAGGTACCAGAAGCAGACGCAGGCATTCAACAGTAGAGTATTATATATTCTTTTAATAGAACCTTCTCGTCTTTTTCTCCGTCTCTGTTCTCTTTCTTTTTCGGGGGGCGTTGGTGTTAAACCTTAAACCCCTATCAGAAAGAGCCAAGAAAATGAGTCAATAGCTGTGATTCCATTGACCATACAATAGCACAATTTGAATTAGAAATAAATACGCTATTTTGAAAAAACACATTCATAAACGTTTTTGCACTAGGATGATGTGTTTTTTTCCCCAGGGATATAAAATTGTTTTATTTTGCAAAACTGCAATAGAAACATATTTTTGCATCACACAAGTCACGTGATCAACAACCGATGTTACTACTGGCAAAAACCACGAAGAAGACAAAGACAGGAAGTAGATGGAAGATGATGAGGCGGCATATTTTATAATGACCTATTGTGTGAATAAACTTATTTACATGTGATTTTAATTGCATTTCCTCGTTAATGGAAATAGCACATTGGCAAAATTGTTTTTTTTTTACATCAGTGGAATACTGAAAGGTTTTGCACACTAGTGATAGAAACTGACATAAAACTGCACAAATTGGAATTACAGAAATAAACAGGTGTCATGTCAATTGTGTTTTGTAGAAACACAGCAATTTTTTGACATTTGCGAAATATCGACACCGATATTCCATTTGTAATGGAAACGCAGCTACCGACTCCAAAACACGACTTCTGCAAAAAAAAAAAAAGGAAGGACCAGAGGGGAAGAAAAAGAAGAGGACGCCAGACATAAAAACAAAAACAAGTTTAATATGAAATAGAACAAGAAAAGCTAAGAGACTCACAATTTCAGAAATTAATTGCATGCTATAAAATTACAGCAAATTTGCTCTTGAGAAACTTAAGTTTTAAAGGTTAATCATTATAAGGGGAAAAAAGCAAAGACGCTAGTGTTTAACGTATTGATCTTTTTATGTGTGGTTTTATTATAATTAATTTTTATTACTATTATTTAGCGTATTTTTTTCTCATTCCATTTGTCAAACAAGCCAAACAATTTACATTGAACAAAACGGCTTTTTTAAAACAGTTTGGTTGGTTTCTTTATAAATATATAAATAAAAGTATGTATGTATTTCTGTTTTATTTTTAAAACTCACACAGCCTTAGACATTTCTTTGTTTTTGTTCATTTTTAATGTGCTGTTCAAATTGAAAATGAAATCTTTAAAAGGTGCCAAAAACCGAATGATCCTATACTTGGATGCATCAAGTCCTGATGAATAAAAAAACGAACCCAAGGGGGAACAAATCATCACGTTTCTCTGCGTGTCTCTTACACACTTCACCAAACAACACCTCCGTTTCTCTCAGCTTTAACTGCTAACTGTCTGTCGATTCTTCAAATCTGCAAACATGCTCCTGCATTAGTATTTATGAAAATCAGATATAAAACCATTTCTGCTCTTTTTTATTTTTGGCCACTGACCTCTGATGAGGTCAGTGATTGTTGAGGTCACAATGTTTGTTGTGTTGTGAGACGAATATCTAAACGTGTTTTCTTGTTGACATTTAATGCATGGAATTTGGGATTCAGCAAGAGCAAAACTACAAATGAAAAATATACAATACATAAAATATTCTTTTTAAAAGGCACACATTAAGTTAAATTTACATTTTAAATGTTTTCATGCTTCCATTTGCATTTCCACTGCTTCTAAAAAAAAGAAAAATCCAAACTGCTTAAAACACACAACCATTTTTTAGCAATAAGTTTCAAACACCTCGATGGAAACTCTTCTACCGGCAACCCCAGCAGAGTTTAGTCAGCTGGTTTCACCTGAAGCTCTGTGGGCTGGAAAAGTCAAGTGTTTTGTTGTGGACTTACTGTCCAGAAACCACTTTCTGTATACTTGTTGGGTGTGCAGAAGGCCACACTTCTGCTTTTCAAAGAGGTAAGGTTGTATAGTTGCACATCTGTTTGTGCAATTTTCACATTTTCATGTGAGAATGTAAACTTTGAGTTGGTGGGGCACATGGCCAGGAGCAGCTTATTTGGATTTAAAGAGACAGGCGGCAGAACTGAGCAGGCCAAAATCTCACTTTTTAAGAATGATTTTGTGCAAAGTCATGTTTCATATCATGCATAGATCAATCCTAACGTATTCAAGGAAGCATTTTAGGTCACCTATGCTAAATGAGGCCTGCAGAATCTGATTTGGACATCTGAGGATTAAACAGCCTGACCTTGGAGAAAATCTGCTGCGATGTTCACTCAAGGCAACTGTCTTCTTCTTTTTTTTATAGTCTTCTCCCCATAAAGTGAAAAACTTTCAATAATTTGCTTCTCTAAGGTCATTTCTAATCTTTTTCCACCTTGACAGTGTACTAAGAGTCAAACTGCCCAATCTTCTTTTTTTTACAGAACTGTTCGCACTGATACATATCAGTTAATAAACTGTATTTAATCTACTTCCTGTCTTAAATCCTGTGGCAGCAGTAAGGGTGTGCTTAGTTTAATAAAACATAACATTATGGAATCTGCTGCGTGTTTTTATACAGTTAGGGATAAAATTAAACAATTTTAGAACCTGGTAAAATCAAGATCAGTTTTATTATGTCCACTCTGATAATTCCAGAGCGTAACATGATTATTTTTAACATGATTGTAATTTAAAGAGCAGAAGCCGAAGAATCAATGTTTACAAAATAAATCCGACATTTAATCACTTTATGAGGAATGAATTAAATATTTTTAGACACAAGAATAAGTTCTATGTATTTAGTCATATGAAATTTGAATAAGAAGTGTCCTATTTTATTCTTTTAGACATATGACAAAGGCATTCATTAATGGTAAAAAAGCCTAGCAGGGTTCTATGAAGCCAAAATACAAAGAAGTAACGCAACCTGACACGCTATTGGCTGGCGTTTGCAAAGCAGCCAATCCAGGAACGTCATTGTTTCCTTGGCAGTGATTGGCTGAAATACCCAAAGGCGGGAATAGGGACAACTAAGCTAACGAGCATATTAGCTTGGCTTCTACGATAGCGCTAACGGTTTTCACTGTAACTATTAATTCATATTACGGTGTATTCGGTGTTTGAACTACTAAAATAGGTAGTTATAAGTGTTTTAGATTGTTTTCAGATTGTTTTAGTTGTTCGCGGGCGGCTGTGGAAACAAAAATTTGTAAATACCAGGTTTTAATACTGTGAACCAAATTCGTTTCATGTGTAAAAACATTGAAGTGGAATAAAAAATAAGCTAAAATCCTCTTTTTAGCTTATTTCCATAAAATCCTAAGGAGGAGAAATGCTCTCTCACTGCACTGTAGTGACTGTACTATGTCATAAAAATGACTAATTTATTAATACATTTTCAAGTACAAAGTTCACCAGAATAATTAGCAAGCACTGGCACTGAAATAATAAGTAGCTGCAAATCATGTGGAAACATCTGACCTCATTTTAACACCTTTTGGGAATTATTTAGTGGTTTGCATTGCTTTTGGTTGTTTCCAATGTATTTTTACATTATTATTTAGTGCTTTGCATCTATTTTTGTTGTTTTTATTTGTGCCTTTTAACTAAATAGATTTTTTTTAGCATTTTGTTGGGTTTTCTTTTTTATTTATCTTGGTTTTCTACGTCATACCAGAAACAATAAAGCATCTTAAAAGGAATGATATAATTTGACAATAATGTGGTGCACATGCTACACCTTATAGAGTGCACCTGGCTTATAATTTAAAGACGTACAAACATAACCTTTTTGTGCAGTTTACCGGTGTAGCATACAGCCTATTGTCAAAGTTAGTGCAGTTAGATAGGAAACCATGATTTTAATCCTGTAAAAGGACAGAGTGAATGAATTTAGACAGAAATTAGAAAAAAGCAAGTTAGCTCTAAAAAATATTGGCATCAGCGCTCCCATAAAAATAAAAGCTGACTTGACAGATGTAAAGCCTTGTGTGCTCTGCAGAAATCATGGCCTCAGCCTGCTGTTGTAAAATGGTGATAACACATTGTAAACGACCACTGGGAGCTGTAATCCAAAAATATCAGAGCTAGCCATCAAATATCTGAGTTTTCTACATGTGGACAGTGAGAATGTTTGTTTTATGCTGCAGAGAAGCTTCAGAAAAGGCCGTTTTTGAGTCCTAATGCCATAACTTTGAAAAAGAAACACTGGACTCTAGGAGGATATTTTCCTACCAGAGGTTTTTCTACTCTGCTGAAAGGATTGCTTTCACTTCCTGACGTCCGGCTCTGAGTTCTCTCATACTGTGTGATACTGAACCTGATACACAGTCAGACTAAAATCGGTTTGTCTCGTCAAGGTTTGTGGATCAGGTTTAAGAGTTTGGAGTTAGGAGAGTTGGTACCTGAGAAATATAGAAACAATTTTATTCACTCATCATTGGGATGAATGGCTCACAAAGTTTGGTGTTTGGATTATCTGTCTAAACTGTTTATTTTTGTTTTAAGCATAAAAACATAAGAAGGGGAAAGAAAGAGGGAGACTAAAAAAATTTTTTCCACCACCAATTTTTGTTTTTGTTATTTTTTTGCTTAATATATACTTATATTCTGTTTTCTATAATATATATTTTTTCTATATATTTTATATGTGCATGTAAATATGTACATATATTTTTAAATTATTTAAATCCTTGCTCCCACTCTGGGGTTGCATGTTTAGAGATTGTTACCAAAAAATGGCGTACCTTTAAGTCTGAAACATGTAATTTTATCTTAAATATTTAGAAATAAAGAACCAGAATTAGTGAAAAAGTTCTAAAATTTGCTAATCTGAGCTTTAGTGAAGCTCTTTTTTCTCCTCTTCCTCTCTTTCCATTCTTCCTGCTGTGGCGATCAAAGCGTGCAGCGCTGTGCGATCAGGGCCACGCGGGAAGAGATACTGCTGAGAACATTTAGAGCGAACACGGTGGCGTTTTCTCACTGTCCGGCTTTTCTGTCGCCTGCGGCGCTGCGGCGTTGCATAACCTAACGTTGCCCTTTCTGTGACCTCACTGGACTAAACGCTCAGAGAGAGATGCAGGTGCAAATCAGCTATAAAAAAAATATGTTACACACAGCGAGAAGAAAACTATAAATCATAAAGAGGCACAGAAAATAAATGGAAGAAAGTGTATGAGGAAAGATGCAAAACAATCCCTTTTGTAACACGTGGTGTTGGCAGCATTATGCTGTGGAGAGAGTAAATGGGCAGGGACTGAGTGAAAAAAGAAAGAAGGCAATCCAGGAAGAAAATCTTTTATAGAGTGAAAAGACATGAGGAGAGGATGAAGGTTCTCCTTCCACTAAACTTACAGTCAGCGATTAAACAGAATAGAAGGCTTTCCATGGATTATGTTTTTCTCGGATTACATATAAGTATGTTTTAATTTTTTGTTTTTACTTTTTCAGTTGGTTTGGTTCACTTTCACACTGCCCTGAGTCAACTGAACCAAACTTAGTGAAAAAACTGTTCCCCTCCTCGTCTGTGGGGGCGCTGCACCAAGAACCAATGAAGGGAATGACTGAAAAACCTCTGAGCGCAACTTCCTTCTTCATAAAATGTTAACAAAAATGGAGTGCCGTCAGATTTGTTGTTGGCAAAAGACTACAAGTCATTTCTCCCGCAAGCGCTAGGCTAATGTATTTGTTTTGGTTGTATTTACCCATAATGCCCTGAGCTGTAGTCCACTTCCTGCTTTTGGAGCGGTCTTCGATCTGCTCGGCGTTCAGATATGCATTCGAACTGGACCAGTTCTCTTCAAACGAACCAAACTCAGGTTCGCAGGCGGACCAGTTTGATTGCACATTCACATCTCCCCTAAAGAACCGAACTTTCAAGAAAAAAATGATTTAAAGCAAACTAAAGGTGACTGGTGTGAATGCACCCAACAAAGGAGTTAAGCTTCAGTTTTCTGTTTCTCACGGTGTAAAGTTTATATTTAGAATAAACCAGCAGAGCCTGCTGGGCTGATCTGGAAATAAAATTCAACTCAAAATACTTCAATTTATGTGCAAATGAAGCTGTTCCCTGTCCTTCCTCCGAGTTTACATGAGCAAGAAAAGTTGAGTCAAGATAATTTGAAGCCTTTAAATCCAGCTTTGAAAAGAGGACAGCTATTTAAAAAGAGAGAGATAAAGAGGAGGAATTAAAATAGTCTGGAGCTCACACACAGCTCTGCCGGATGTGTGAAGGAGAAGCAGCGAAGCGCTCTGCCCCCTGCTGGTGCGGTTGGAGCAGCGCAGGGAAGCTGCTGCTGCCTCCATCGGCTCAGGGAACGCTGTGTCCATGAACGGGGCTGGAATACTGATGCAGGGCTGCAGGAGCTGCAGTGGGGGAAAGAAGAGCCTGCACTCACTGAGGTCTGCAGCAGAGAACATCTGGTTCACCTGGGAGACGTTTGTGAAGTTACACGGTAAAAAACTAAAAAAAACAGCAATACTGAGGTTTATTTAGCTTGTTATAGAGGAGGGGGAGATGTGTGTTTAAGTAGAGCAGCCAAAAACTGTGTTTCAACACAATCAAAGAAACATATTATTAAAAAAATAATAATATGGCAACCTCACCAAAAAATGTTCAGACATAATTCATGCTGCTGTATCGTTCCAGATGCTACTCTTAAATGTACGTTTCTTAAGAGACATTAGCCGTCAAGTAGCCGTCCAAGGAATTACTTGAGGAAGACTGAAAATGTATTTGGTAGAAAATCTGCTCAAGTAATTAATCAAATTATCAGCCACTGATTATTTAAAATGAACATAATCAGAGTGTCAAAATATAAAGTTAAATGGAAATGGACAATAATTCACACAAGTAACAAAAAAATAAAATCAGGCAAAAGAAATGTTTCCGAATTAGTTTCTTTCAATAAAAAACTGATTAAACTTTAACAAAAACTGCAGCTGTGTTTCTGTGTCTGGTGAATCTTTGGTTCAAACATGTTTGCTTTTCATTCAGTGGGTAGAAAATCCAGAAATTAGGAGCAGAAATACCTCAAAATAAAATTACTCAAGTAAAAAGTAAAACGTAGAGCGTAGTAAAAGTTCATTTTTTCAACAACGTTGCTCTAGTGAATGTAACTAGTTACTGCCCAACTCTCCATTTATAAATGTTACAGTTAGAAACTAGATATTTAAATTACTGATGAACTAACATATCTTCCACTAGATATTTCAGCTAAATGATCATTTCATTCCTGATCTGTCTCCATTAACAGCCTCTTAGCTCATTCATGTCTTCATTTCTCAGATTGTAGTCAAAAGGCTTCGTCTCGTTGTTCCTGGTTTTCCGTTTGTGCTGTTTCAGCGGCGATGAAAGCAGAACTGATGGACAGCAGCTTCAGCAACCGTCGCATGTTTCCCGTGTCCTTGAGCTGTGATGCTTTCATTCAGCTGACAGCGGCGGACGGTAATTAAGCCAGAACTCCAACCCTCCACTTCAGCAGGTGATGAGGAGGCCCCTGAGGGCCACTTAGGTGTCCGGCTGAAAAGCCTCCCTGGAACTTTGCTGCATAATATTCAGCGCTCTTTGCAGAAATCTGGATTTACTGGGAGTTTTTTCAAGGTCTCACTCACCTCACAGTAAGCCTTCAAGCAGAGGCAGCTGAAGGACGACGTCTCGTTAAAGGATTAAAGGCGACTTACTGAGAATTTTTTTATGTTTTCATTTGGGTTTCAGATGCTTCTAAAAACAGACTGAGTGCTTCGAAACCACCCAGCCATTTTCTGGTAGTAAGCTAAATGGAAAATAAGCTGTATGTAACGTCACAAATACATACAGAGTTCTGCCAGTTACCTACCAATCCAAGCTGAATTCCAGCAAATTTGGTCAGCCGGTTTTACTGCTCTGTACTCTGATCAATTGCTTCTGGAAAAGACACACGTTTTGTTTTTGACTTTTGAAAGTCAGAAATTTCCCTGTTTTATTTTTCTAGAAAATGTCTGAGATTAATCTCAAATTTTTAGTGTTTCTTTCTAGCAAATCTCTTTTCAAGCTCAGAAATTGGCTTGTTTTTTTCTAGAATATTTCTTAGACAAATCTCAAAATTGGGGAGGTTTTTCTATCTAATTTTGGACTTTTGACACTCAAAATGTCAAGTTTTTTCTAGAAAATTTCTGAAGTTAAAATTTTCCCTCCTTTAGTGAAGAAATTTTTTATCTTGAATGATCCAAATACAAGGAGCCAAGTGGGCTGTTTATGTTTAGATTAAGCACTAAATCTGGTTTTAGAAAAGGGAACATAAGTCAGAAATTATCCTAATACAGAAACACCAACCTCAGTGTGTGTGTGTGTGTGTGTGTGTGTGTGTGTGTGTGTGTGTGTGTGTGTGTGTGTGTGTGTGTGTGTGTGTGTGGCCCTGCAGAGGGACCTCCAGTCCAGAGCTGTGGTAGCAGCTGTTGTTAGTGGGACGGCAGCCAGGTAACGAGGGACACGCTGGGCCAGCAGAGCGGAGGGCCAGGACTCTGGTTCGTGTGGATCAGGGTGTGAGTGAGCGCTCTGCATGCACACGCATGTCAGCGTGCTTCCTGGCACCGCGGACGTCCGGCTGGCACGGCGGCAGCGGCCGGGGAAGTGGCTGCGCGTCTGACAGGAGGGGACGACTTCAGACTCAGGACCGTTATCACACATGATCCGGCTCCTGCTCCAACAGAGGGGCAGGAAGAGGCGGTACTGTGTGTTTTCCAGCCACAAAGAGCCATTTTATAGCACAATCAAGTAACTAAATTGCTTTAAGTTCTAATAAAACAAAAACCTTTACTTTCTGATTCAACACTTTGAAATTGGGCCTCTGTTTCTTCAAGAAGCTCCGACTTTAGGAAGTCAAAAAAACATGGCTCCTCTGTTAACTCTAATGATTTTACCAGCATTGCTCTGAGAAGTTGCTCCTGTAATGAGCTCGACTGATGCACAGCTAATTGCTGCTGGCTAGTCTGAAGGAGATATCCACTAAGTCCACGCAGGGGTTTTAGCTGAATGCTTGCCATGGAGATTAATGGATTTCTCAAACAAGCATTGAAAGGATTCAAAACACTGCAGGTGTGTTTTTGATGAGTGAATAACCTAACATGAGGGAAAGACAAAAAAGGTGAATTTCACCTAACAGTGTCGCTTTAAAGTTTGCATTTTACATATTTTAAATAATAAATGTAAAGAATAAATGAAATATTTGTTAATTTCTTCTTGAAATGAACAAATATTTTTAAACGTTTGTAACTCTAATGATGAGAAACGCTCCAGTAAGAATGTCCTTAAAGCATTTAGTTTTTTTCCAGCTGGATGTTTTGCAATAATTCACCATCACAGCCGTCTAAACGTGCCGCTCACAGCAGGAAGCATTTCGCTCCGCAGGTCAATCAGATGTCCTGCAGATGAAACTGGACGTGACGTGGGTCTCCCTCTCTGCAGCGCTGCATTAGTATTCCAGCTCCGTTCATGAACACAGCGTTCCAGCAGCAGCAGCAACAGCGCTGCAGTTCCCACATCGCGCCACCAGAGGGCGGCGTTTCACACAATATCTAGGAGCTGGAACGAAAAGGTGAATGTTTTTGTGGAGGTGAGTTAAATACTAGTCAAATAATTGAAACGCTACTTCAACAAATTTTTAAAAGTAGCCAATAAAGAAATTATTCCAGTACGAGTAAAAAAGTGCTGAGTAACTAGTCAGGTAAAAAGTTTCTCAAATGTAATTGAACAAATTAAAATTACTACCCGACTCTGGATGTCACATTAAATGGATGAAAGTATCTGGTTTCAACTATAAATGTTTTTCAATCTTAAGACTTTTAATCAACAGTTGGATGAAGCCGTTTGGATATCAAGTTTTCCAAACCAAACTGAAATTCATGCAACCGCACAAATCCTTGTTTTCCTACCTCAAACCGAGTCATTTAGGTTCCTGGTGTCGTTTAAAGCTGCAGTACCATCTAAAATGTTTCACATTCAGATAATCCCTCATGTTAATATGTGTAAATGCACATATATTATTTTTTTCATATTGGGCCAGTCTCTCCTAACGGCTCAGAAACCATGTTGTCACAACATGGATTCTCTACTAAACCTTAAAACATTTTTGCCACCAAGTTGCTCCTATAATGAGTTGATATGATGCAGTCCCACTTAGGTGTTTGCTAATTGTTGGCTAGTTTGAAGGAGCCAAGTGGGGGAGGAGCTACACCTGAAAGGCGGAGCCAAGTCCAACCATTCGTTTTGGTAGATGTAAAACCAAAGTGACAATCATGTTTAAATCTTTAAAATATTTTCTTTTTTTCTTTGATTTTCTCAAACGGAATAAAAAAAACACAAGGATCTAATTTTATGACAGTTTTCAACAACACTGCCTCTTTAAGACGTTTCAGGGCACCTTGGTTTGTGGACGCAGTTTTTCTTAAGTTAAAAAAAGAAAACACCAAGTTGTTTTTCTTTCCAGATCTTTATTAAACTCTGCAGAACAGCAGTGACATTTCCCGTCGCCACAGCAGACGTTAAACCGTCTCCTCCTTGGCGATGCGGTCCTTCTTCAGAGGTCCCTGTGGAAAACAGAAAACAAACCCGGTCAGTTTCACGTCCACAGAACGGAACCCGGTCCGGGCTCAGAGCGGGCCGTGTTCCCAGAGAGTGAACAGGGAGCCGGCACAAGCAGGACCGGCTCCCCTGCCTCACTGGAGGTCACTGTGGCACTGGAATGGAACCCAGAGTTCACATGGAGGCTGAACCAGGTTACGAACAGTGCAGAGCGAAGTTCACCGAGGGCCGAGCGCCACTCACCATGAAGTTCTTCTTCTCCTCCACCGTCTGGAAGCGGCCGTGGCCGAACTTGGAGGTGGTGTCGATGAACTTGAGGTCGATCCTCTCCAGAGCGCGGCGGCTGGTCTGCACCAGCAGAGACTGAAGAAGAAAACGGGTTTTAGTTTCAGGTGTTTCATTAATCTGAGTTTTTAAAGACCGTTATGAATGAAGTTTTACACTTGTTTCACAAAATCCAAGCTGGTTTTTTTTGGAGTTTCTAGACATTTTAAATCATTCTGGTAAAACTGCATCTTATTCTGCTTATATTGTAATCAAAAAAGTTTCACAGCAGGATCTTAACTCTGTCGCATAACTCAGAAAAGATTATAGAAAACAGATTGCAAAAAATATCTTCAAAAGTGGCTTTTATTTCATTTAGAAAAGAAAAAAACCCATCTGAACTAATATGAGGGAAAAAGACAAAAAAGGTTTTATTTTGAAGGGATATCGCCCAGCTAGCTAGGTTAACTTAGCAGCAGTTAGCGATAGCCTCAATATTCAGCATTTAAATTTTATTTTTACATCTGCATCATTTTGATAATGACTATAATCGTATATAAAATGTAAAAAAAAAAAAAAAAAAAAAAAAAAAAGAGCTTGTTATTTCTTCAACCTAAAATCAAAGTCCAAATTAATAAAAGCTGGAAAACTCGTTTGTAAATCAAGATGGCTGCCCAGGAATTACTCTGAACTATGAAAAAGTTTGAATTTCCCCAAAAATTACATCTTCAAAATCCAAAAATTCAGTCAAACCCGGTTCACCACCAAGTCCAGTTTTCATAACTTGTTAAAAGAAAACTAAAACATTTCCTGCTCACCTTGCGCAGAGTCAGCACCCTCTTCTTGGTTCCTACGACGCAGCCCTTCACCATGACGAAGTCGTTGGTCACCTCACCGTAGTGAACAAATCCGCCCTGAAACCAGAAAATAAACCGACTGAGAACCTTCGCACGTTCAGCCATTCTGATCAGAGGAAAGCGAGCGTCTCTTACCAGGGGATTGATGCTCTTGTTGGTCAGATCGTACTCGGTGGAGGCATTGTTCTTCACTAGCTTCCCATCCTTGGTGTGGTAGCCCACGCCTATCTTGTAGATCTTCTTGTTGATCTCTGTTCGGTGGTGGTAGCCCTTCTGACCGGCGCGGGCGACGGAGAACGCCACCCGGGCCGGATGCCAGGCGCCGATGCAGGCCACCTTACGCAGGCCGCGATGCGTTTTGCGGGGGAGCTTCTTGGTGTGCCAGCGGCTGGTGACGCCCTTGTAGCCGTGACCTTTGGTGACGCCGATAACGTCGATCATCTCATCCTGGGTGAAGACGGTATTGACCGTCACCCCCTGCTCCAGCTTCTCGCGGGCCCAGTCCACCTTGTCGGAGATGGTGCCGCCGTTCAGCTGCACCTCCATCAGGTGGGACTTCTTCTGCCTCAGAGGCAGCAGGCGCATCTGCACAGAAACGTAACGCGTTAGCAGGAACTTCTTGAAACGCAGACAACCCAGTTTTACGCCGCATCGTCTCAGAAGGAAGGCAGCATGGAAGATCTCCTCATAAGAATCAGGCGCCATGCCTGACGCGGTTTCCGTGGTCTCATCACCGACAGGAAAGGGATTTTCTTTCAGAGTATATAAGTGTACATTACTGGATTGGACGTCATGTCAACGTGTGCCGCTGCTAAACATCGAGTTGGAAAAATTACACAATTACACCAAGAATGTGAAAATGAACAAGTCATTAAAACCTCCTACTTCCTGTTGTTGTTTCTGCCAGTGATATTATCTGGCTGTTGATCATGTGATTAATGTAATGAAAACAAACGTTTCCATTTTCGCTTCACAAAATAAATTTACTGAAAAATCACCTGATATGTGAAAACGTCCTAGCGAAAACCTTTTTTTTTTTTTTCATTTTTAAACTGATCATTTCCAATTGTACAATTTTATCTTTAATGGAAATGCAAGTTGTGCACTAGCTGCAGCGGCTAATCGGCGCTGTCCAACCCAGTAACATACAGAACAATGTTTCCTGCAGACCAACCTGTGTGTGAGCGATGACTCTGATGACCTGGCAGTACTTCTTCATGGCAGCAAAGTCTTTCTCCAGCTGCTTCTTGCCCTCGTCGTCCTGCCATTTCTTGCAGTACTTGGTGAAGGCCTTCTTCTTGGATTTGTACCTGAGAGCACACCAGAGGTTGGCGCCGGCCCCTCATGACCCCTGCAGGGGTCAGCGGAGGGGCACGGTGCACAGCTCCCAAGCCCGATCAGACCGGGCTGGACCAATGTTTTGGCTCATGGCTCGGTTTCTAAGCAGCACTTTCCACCGGCCAGCGGAGCCCGGCGCTCATCGGGGCGCGCTGCACCCGAGCGGAGCTACCGTAGAATCGCCGCCAACGTTAGACTCGCTCAGCTTTGTCCCCACTGGCGACCAACATCTGCTTCAAACAAAGATGGCCGACTACAGACGGCTCTCACCAGTTCTTGTAGAAGCGGCGCTTGCATTCGTCGCTCATGTGCTCGGCGAAGATGGTCTTGAAGGAGCGCAGGCCGCGGGGTGTGTTGACGTATCCGATGATCCCGACTATGATCATGGGCGGAGTCTCCACGATGGTCACGGCCTCCACCACTTCCTTCTTGTTGACCTCTGCATTGAAATAAAAACATGTTACGCTCATCTCTTAATGCTGATTTCCGTATTTAACCACGCTGACGGGATCAGCTGCGCTCAGGACTCGACATTCAGCAAGGGGGATAAACCCGTTCTGTCCGCCCGTCGAGAGTCTCATCACAGGCAGAACTCAGGCGCTTTTAAACGCAATGACAAACATTTCATCTAAAAACACAAAAATTTACGTTTCTGCAACAAATGCTTCCAGAAAAAATATCATTTCACTATTTAAATATGACAGAACTTAAACTGCTGGGTGACAAAATGTTAAAAGTCTTAACATTTTTAAGTTTACCTACATATTCATCCAAACAAACTTCATTTGTAAAACTAGTAGAGAAAACCTCTGGTCATCAAGTCATAATTTAACCTTTGATTAAACACAAATATTTAAACTATAACCAACCAGAAGTGCAATGAAAAATAATTCAACATAAAAGTAGTGAAATGGTTGTTTTACTGTAGCATTCACAGGAAACCTTTTTAATGTTTTCCTCTTTTCTGATTTAGTGCCATCAGGAGTAACGATGCTTACTTGACCCGGGTCTGTCCACCTCCCGCACGATGTGCGTCATGCCGGCCTTGTAGCCCAGGAAGGCCGTCAGGTGAACCGGCTTGCTGGGGTCATCCTTCGGGAAGCTCTTGGCCTTACCGCGGTGACGGCGACTCCTTTTGCGGGGCAGGAAGCCCAGGGATCCGTGTCGCGGAGCCGAAAACTTACGGTGGGACTGTTGGGTAAAGGATAATTAGCTTTCTAAACTGTTAACATTATAAAGCTACATTTATCGAAGTGCGGGAAACCGGTTATTAGCATGCTATTAGCCATTAGCCTACATGCAACTAGTTTGAATTAACATCACAGCTTTCAATTCTGGACACACTGAAATGTTATTTTCATTCATAAAATGAATCAAGCTAAATGCTTAGGGGTATTATTTGTTATAAATGTAACTTTCGGCCTTGTTCAAGAGGCCATGTTGGATCCAGAGCCTGCAGACCGTCTACACATGTACGACAAAAAGTTTCCATTTCTGCTAAAACTACAAGAAATGTATGCCAAAATATGATCAAACATCAACACAAATGTGTTCTCTGTGTTCTTATGTATGGAACTATGAGCGATGAATAAGATTAGTAACGGATTTATCAATGAACAACAAGCAAAGGAACCCATCTCACCATTTTGTCTCCCGTCCGATTGAAAGAGGCCTGAAACGAGGCAAACTATAAATATATAGCTCAGGAACTATCGCGAGAATCTGCGTGATTATTTTCTGAAAGTGTTACGCCTCTTAAAAACACTTTCTATATGCTGCCACTTGGTGTCGCTGTTCTATTAGAGAAAAACAAAAACATCAATTATTAATTTTATCATAGAAACTTTATTTCACACTCAAGGTCCAAACAAAGCAAAAAGAACAAAATAAGAAACAACCAAACAGACACACATATCCACAACCCTCTGAAAAACAATTACATTAAACTTTTGCTGTGGCTTACCCTACGAAAACAAGCGTTTTTCTGGACTTGATTTAATGCAAAATCAGTTTCCAACATTTAAACTATGTTTGGGGGTAAATTGCACTCCAGTAGTATTCAAATTGAACTTTTCCTCATTTTGTCACAACAAAATTTTATGTATTGCCAGGAGTGAGGAAAACAATTTTTTTCCAAAAATGAATTCATGGATAGTTGTCAAAAAACAAAAAAATAAATTCTTCATCTGAATTCAGTCTTTTTAATCCGATACCCCAATATAAAATTTACTGCAATCTCAGACATCACTTTGTGTAGATGAACCTGTTTGTAAAAGAATCTCACTATGTCTGACATTTCAGTTTAAAATCTTTTTTTGTATCTTACATTATATTTAAATTTTATGACATTGAACATTGGATTTTCATTACAAACCAGAATAACCAAAGTTTACTTAAGTCAAAATAAATAACTTTGGTTATTTACTGCTTCTGTACCACTCTATATGTATCAAATCTTAAAAATTAAATCTACATTTCCTTATTTATTTCCCCATAACTTACTTTTTAATAGTTATATTTACCAGACTGATATCATGATGATAAATTTTGCAATATATTCTTTAGCCCTAATTAGATTTCTCTCATAATTAAATAAAACTAGAAAGAAGTCACTCATTCAACAATAACCAGGTTGTAACATTTTAATACATTTTTTTATAAAACAGAAAACATTTACATTCTTCAACATTTTTTCATTTTCCGGTCCAGTGTCTAAAGTTTTCACTCACCAAGATCTGAGAATCTCCTGAAAGATCTCAGTGAGCTTCAATCTCTACCCACAGGTCTCTTGTTGCATATGAAAAATAACTCAATCCGCATCCAAAGTTATCTACACAGCAGATAGTTGCAAAAATTGTCATGTTTTACGGCAACAGGACAACAGAAAATGTGGTAAAGTATTTTATCTGGACCTCATGCTACAGTACGGATCAAGTTTCAGTCTTGAGTTTGTGCCACTGCCATGCACAGCGGGTGAGCGGGTTCCGGTTCACAGATGAGTCCAAATGTCTAAAAGTAAGCGCCAAACTTTTCCTTAACACTTTGTGTTATCAGGCATGCAGGAAGGTTGGAGGTACATCTTTCATTTCCAGGCCAACCGGCACCCCCTGCAGGTGGAGTTCACGGTGCCAGGCGCTGTCGATCCAGGTTCACCTTTTGGAAGAAAGTCTTCCCGAACTCATAGCTGCTGATCATGACAGCGCAGGCCGGCGCCACTTTGATCACTCTGGGCAGAAAACCTAAACAAAAAATAGTTTTTTAACTTCCTGGCAAAGAAAACAAGAGATTTTTATTGAAGATATATCTGTGTGTACCTGCAAAGAGGCCTCTGTAGCCCAAATCAGACCAGATCTCCTTCATGATGTGCCAAGTGGAAGTGGTTCCCTTTCTGGAAACTGGACACAAACAGCAGCAGGTTTATTTTAAATCTTTTTAAAACTTTAAATCATTTTGGTAAAGAAGAGCCAACCTCCCAGAGAGTCCATCTCTCCCAGTTGGATCTGCCGCCGAGTCTTGACCACGTCGAACGGCAGCGTCAGGACAGCAGCAACCTGAACACACACACACACACACACACACACACTGTTAAACTCAAACTTTTTTTTAAATTATTTTTTGAAAAGTTTCTCATGCACCTGAGAACAAAAACCAATTTTAACAAAAACATCCCCCAATTTCAATGATATTAGTTTAATGTACAAAATATAAGCCAAATTTATTTTGATGACACAAACCAATAAGTTGTTGGGCCATAATAAATAATTATTACTTTTATGCAATCCAAACTAATCATATTCAACTCAAAATTAAATGCTTAAAAATAATAAGAAAGTTAATTAAAAATAAATTCTTGCACAATTTTATAGCATTTAGCAAATAGAAATAATTTTGGTTATTCTAACTAACCAAAAATAAGTTAAGTTTAGTCAGATTTAACTTTAGACAGTGAGGAAAAAATCTTTTTTTTTTATTAACTGTTTGAAAATATTTGGTTTAAACTGTAAATGGCATTTTTAATCAAACATTATATTACACTTTATTACAAACAGTAGAGTTTGAATATCAAACATTTTCCAGTTTGTGATACAGAAATCACAAACTTTCTAAGCCTTGAAAACACATGATTCAATTCAAGCACTTTCAAGGATTTCAAGCACCCTTATGAATACACCCTGGATACGCAGAATGATATTAAGATAAGATGGACAGACGCAGCGTGAAAATAAAGATATTTTGTTCAAAATCAGGCTTTCTTTTCCCAAGAGTCAAATTAAATTCTGTTATTTTCCAACACTGTCAGCGTTTCGGAGACATTGAAGCCGGTATCTGCTGTACATTCTGTCATTAAGACTCACGGCTCCAGAAACGGCTCCAGCAGTGAAGCTGATGGAGAAGTTGGCCTTCGGCGTTGCGTACTGCTCACACAGCTGGGCCTTCACCAGTTCGTAGTTAAACCAGTACAAAGCTGCAACAACAACACAAACAGCTCTAAATCAAGGACCTGCTATCACTGAACTCCATCTGCAACAATAAATCTATTAATCGCATAATAAATGAGAAAAAACTCAACTATTTCCATTTGCATGATTTACTGTTTATTTCTTTTCTCTTTTTCTACCAAAATCTGGATACTAAAATTCTTCAGTCTGGTGTTTTGGTCTCACTTTATTTTGGATTTTAAAAATGTCTTCCAGTTCCAGTATTAAATGTTCATTAGATTTCATATTTTTTGATCTTTGAGAATGTGTTCTTATGTTATTATACCATTTTTACCATTATATTACTAGAAAACCATCTCAAAACAACATTATCGTTTATTGCAATAAACTGTGGACCATTTATCTCCCAGCAGAGGATAATTTGTTATTGTGACAGACCGATCGACAACCACAAATTTGTTTCAAATAGTTCAAAAAGGAGTGGAAATGTAACGCTTTAACTAGGATGTGAGTGAATCTCACCAGAAAAAGGGACGTCTCTGAGAACAGTGGGTCCCCAGCCCCTCCACAGCGACAGCATGCCGCCCTGGGCCACCGCCGAGCGGATGCACACGCGCAGCTCGCTGTAGCTCAGCTTCCTGGATTGCATTTTGGTCCTGACCAGCTCCAGAGGGCAGATGACCGTCACGGCGCCCACTACCATCAGAACAACACGTTACAGATAAACAACAACAACAGAAAAAAGACAACAGGAGGTTTTTCTTTCTTCCTCTTACATCTGGCAAGCCCTCCGGCCAGAAGAGGAACGTGGCTGCCCTGGAGGCCCAAACCCAACCACAGGAAGTCCCTCAGCTGGTCGTAGCAGGTGAAGTAGATCACTGTGGCTGGGACGGCCATCACCCTTCACACACATTAAAAATTTATTTAGAAACAAATAAATTGCTCAATAGAGTGAAACACAAAGAACCATGGCAAGAAAATCGATTTGTTTCTCCCAGTGGTCGTTTCTTTTAACCTCTATATTTACATTTATTTGGATTACATATGTCTATATAAGCTATTTTTCAACATTAAAATGGAATATTGGGCCAAACCAAGATAACTCTTTTATGAGAATAAAGTAATCTTAATAACAGCAAAGTTTCCAGAGATCAGGATCTGACATGAACAGATTTGATTCTTTAAAGATAAACTCAGTTGTTTCTACAATCATTTCAAAATTATGCTGTAACTTCACAAGATGCCATATTTTAATTATTTTTCAAGGCGTCATCAAAATAAGACTTTATTCTCATATCATTACAACTCTCAATCAAATTTTATTTGTGTAACAAACATTTCTCATATTTTTATGACTTTATTCTCTTTATCAGGACTTTGTTTTTGCTTTATTAAAACATTATTCTGATAACTACATTTTTTCTGACTTAGCCTAGCCCTGATTCTCTGTGGTAGGAAATAACAGAACATGCAGATGACCCAATTTTCCAACAGCATTTAAACACACCATGCTGCATTTCTATCTGTGTGTAAATGTAGTTTTTGACCAGGAACATGTATTGATCCATTTTTATTCATAGAAACCTTTATGAGGTAAAACATAAAGCTAATCTGGGAGTCAAATTGTAATGTTTGTGTAACTTCTGAAAGCGGACGTTTATTTTGTTTTCATAATTTCTTTATGTTTGTGTGCATTTGAATACAAGTGTGCAGAAAACTGTAAGGCCAAGCAGGTTACAATATTAGAAAGAAAAACATTGTCTGATTTGTAAAACCAGAGGACATTCTATGATAGAAATCTTTATGAAAATTTGATTTTTATTTGTTTTTAATTTTGAATGAATACCCAAATTGTAATTTACCTCCAGGTAAAACAAGTTTAAGATAATCTGCTCTGGAACTTTATTCACTTTGACTCTCAAGTTCCTTTTACTTTGGAAAATAAAATCTTAAAAATCATTCAGGAGCAGACCGTGATGTTCATGTTTACTTGAATTCAAAAACTGATTCAGGTTTGCAGACTTGAATCTGTTCAGAAAATGTGTGAAAAATCTTTGACTAGGCCGCATCTCTGCAGTCATTAAACAGTTTTCTGTCTGTTGTAGTCAGACTGTCTGAGAATTAGCTCTGAGCAGAAACCTGCTGTTCGTCCCCCTTCCTGCCCTACGGCTTGTTTTCTTTCCAATTCATGGAATGTTTCCTGCAGTTCAGGGAAAACTGAATCTGAACCATGCGACCTGCAAAACGAGCCGGACTGCATTGAAATAAAACAATAACGTCTTAAAAATAGGCAGAAAACAAAGCGGCGGCCTGAAACTCACAGCGTTGGTGGCAGCCCACTCCACAGAGAGCGGAGTCCCTCATTGCGGGTAATTTTCACAAAAGCATCCTGCATAAAAAAACAAATGAAACAGAAACATCTCAGTAAATTACACAGACATAAAAAAAAAATCACCTAAAACCTGCAGCCGTGATGCAGCTCACCAGAGTGCCACTGAAATGCGTTGGCGTTCGGTACCAGCTGGAGCAGCTGGTTCCGTTCTGGCAGACGTAGATGTGATCCATCAGGCCGTTGCAGTACAGAAAACATTTCCCTGCAGAGAAAACACACAGCAAAGCTTCAGAAGCTGCACGCTAATCGATAACGTACGTTTACTTTCTCCCATCAAACTTTGCTTCTGAAAATATCAACAAAAACGGGGCAACAGCACCACAGATAAGACCCGGGCCGACCTTGCTGCAGTTTATTTTAGGTTGAGTAATGTCCGAATAAATAAACTATCGGAGGTTATTTTAGCTTCACAAACAGAAAGAGTCCATCGAGGCTGAACAGAAATACATTTATAGGGCTGCAGCTGCACTTATAATTATTGACATGAATTAAAAGTGGCACATTCTGCAGCACTTTTTACAATATTAGAAAAGCATGAAAAGATGCATATAAAAAATTTTATTCATCTTTGAATAAGAAAATAAATGTTTTATTGATAAAATGCAATAATGGCATTCCTTTAGTGAACATTTGATCATTTGCAGCTAAGAAAATAACTTAATTGTGTTAAAAGCTCACACAATTATTAAGTTACTGCAACTTAATAATTAAGTTATGAAGTTAATAAATAAGTTGTATTGATATGTTGATTATTTTTAAATAACTGATAATTAGTTATCGAAAGGTGTTTAAAAGTTGAGATTTTTTTTTTAACAGAATTTGAACCATTTGAAGCTAAAAATGGTCCTGCAGGAATTCTGGGTGAAAAATAATCACAGACAAATGTTTTGGATCTTAAATACAATACATAAACATATATTGCACATTTTTAGCTTAATTAAAGCTCTGAGTCTGTTCTTTCAGCAAGTGGCCTTTTTCAGTCTGTGTGTTAATGATTGAATGGTAAAAGGTTCTCAATAGGAAACTGTTTTATTTACAGAATTTGAACCAAGTGATGCTTAAACTGCCACTTGAGGAGTTTTACAGAAAAAATTTCGCTGTTTTTTATTTTTTTAATTGCAAAATTTGTGTCTATTATTTTACATCTTGGTTTAATTACAGCTCTGTGTTCTTTCTACAAATTTCATATGGTTGAGTCTGTATGATGATTAATCAATTACTAAATTAGTTGGCAATTATTTCAATAATCAATCAATAGTGAAAATTTTTCAGCTCTCATCTTTATTATTTTTGTTTTGTGATTTGGTTTCTGTGAAAGAACTCATAACATCCGTTCTGTGAAGCAGCAGCTTGTTTGAATTCCCAGATGAAACGCCTGCATGAGATGATTAATCAACTACTAAATTAGTTGACAATTATTTCAATAATCACTATTAATCGTTTCAGCCCTATATATTTTCCAATCAGACTGGAGCGCAGCTGCTGCAGCAGATCAATACTCACATTTGGATGAGCGGCCGACTCCACCCCATGGAGCGGATTCACGGCCCAAAGCTAGAAAACGAAGCCAAGGTGGAGCAGAAAGAAAGCCATTTGAGGGGTTAGTTTCAAACGCAGAAGCAGTTAGAGACCAGCCATCTTAACGCGACGTGAGTAAACAGTTTTCCTACCCTGGTGGAAGGGAGTCTGCTGAGCCTGCAGCCTTATCTTCACAACGTCCAGCGGAGTGACTGCAAACAAATCCACACAGCCAATCACAACAGGGGCAGCGAAACGGATGCAAATAGAATCAAAAAGGAAGAAAACATGGGAGTAAAAACTCTACAGCTCTTTCTCTCGTTGCTTCTATATAAGCTAACCAAATAGAGATGTGAGGAGGGCTCCAGTGCCAGAGGCCAGCATCTGCTGCACTGGAGAGATCGCAGCCACTGGGCCGCCAACGGTCCGCTCCCCCATCTTGCCCACCTGTCAGACCAAACAAAGACATACAAAATAGCAGGTCGAAAACATCATGCACTCCTCCAACAAGCTACAAACCAGCAGGAGCGAAGAAAGCTGCGATTTGTTGCAGATTCAGTCCAAAAAAAAAAAAAAAACAAGATACTGACTCCTAAATGGAAAAATTACCGTGCATTGAAGCCCGAGGTGTCTTTTTTTAACTGAGCAGGGTATGTCTAGGTGGAGTTGTTAAAACAAGGTCCTTGAAATATTTTGATAGCTTATCTTTCACATGCATGCTGCCTCCAAGGCCTCGCCTCCTGATCTACAAGTGACAGCCGTCTCAAACCGGTTTCCCTGCAGGAGGAGGCGTTTCTGCTGGTCTGTCCACTTCCTGGGGGCTCACTAATTATAAAACGTGGTCATTGCAGCTGTATGAGGCATACGGTTTGACCAAGTGAGTCAGATTCTTCAATGGTCACAGGAATTAGCTTGAAAGCTACATAATCTTAACGGAAATCTCTCACGTCACACGACAAAAACACCAAAACAGCAGCCTTATGTTGACAGGATGCAAGTTTGTTGTATGTAAAACACTAGATCAATAATCTGGCTCATTACACAGTGGATTAAGGCTTCATTTTGTTTGTTTTTTAGCAAACATTTCAGCAGTTGAACACCATGTTCTTTTTCGCAACCCTGAAGTTCGCTTCCGATTGATCGCTTGAGAAAATGTGTTTTAACAGCTTTTGAGGAAGTTGGCTTTCCTTATATTAGGTTCAGGAGAAACGTGAAAATATAAAAGGAGATTGAAAAAACAGTCTACAGTTAATAAGTCATTATTTTTATTTCTTGAACTAAAGTGGATTTAACGTATTTAGAGTCCTTAAAAATAGCGGAAAAATCCTTTTTCGCACTCAATGAGAGACAAACTTCAGTGTATTTGTCTTTTTCGAATAAATACACCAAGAATATTTTTTTTCTTGGTAAAATGTCGATATGTACTAAAACTAGGCGTTCAACAAAGGTAGCAGGAACTCCTAGTTTCAGACAAAATTGTCTAATCTAGTCTTCAAATGTGGGTGTTTTGCTGACCGCTAACTGCAGCACGTTGATTAGCTCGGTAGCCATCTTGCTGTTTACAAGCTGCGAAGCTTTGTAAACAGCTGCGAAGCTTTCACCCACCTCTTACTTTAGCTGCCAGCCTTTTCCTGAAACATAGGTGCCTTCACCCATGTCAGTTACTCAATCTGCGGTAGTTTGTTTTACTCAGGAGCTCCATTGCAGAGCGTCCCGAGTACAAAACGTTACCAACGTCTGGCCTCGCCGCCGCACATCCTCTCGCGTACACGAAGCCCAGATTTAAAAAACATGCACAGCGACAGAACATGAACGTTCGACTGAACGCATGATTTGTAGATCAACGTTCAGAGGGACTCTGATTCCCCTGAGGGCGTTTCAGACGCTTTGGTGCCATCTAGTGGGCTGCAAAATCACTGGCTGTACCAGGAAGTTTTATGTAAATAAGTTTTCTGTTAGATTAAGTTACCCGTTAGAACGACAAACTATGCTACTTAATGACAAAAACCAAAAACAAACCAAAAACAATTCAATCAACCTAAAAAATAGTTTAAGTTTAGTACTAAACACAGTGCAGACAGAGAGATCCACCTTTCCCCTCCCCGCCCTCTGACCAAGATGGGGCGTATCAGGATGATGCAGGTTCGGCAGAACTCTTTGTGGGGATTCACTGTGGTGAGACGCAGCAGGGAAGCTCCACTCTCTCTTCACAACAGCCTTTCTGTCTTCAGTAAAGGTAAGAACAGTGTAAAACCTATTTTACTCTCAAAACGCTGGAAAAATGCTGACGCGTTTTAACAAACCTCTATGCCTGAACTTAAAAAGCTGATTTTTTAAATTCGAAAAGTAAACTTTTTTATGCAAATTTCACATGTCTTCGTAATACTTATATATATTAAATATGTATTCGTTGTCACTGTAATGACGCTGGAAGTGTTGTGAATATTCCCAGCCTCTGAACACAACACTCCTTTGTGCAGGGAGACAAAAACAATGTGATAAGGAAGTACTATTACAGGAAATAAACAAACATGCCTAGACACTGAGGTTCTGTAAATGTCTTTTTACCTCTTTGTGTCAAACAGGGTAAAATATAAATAATAACCCATCATATTCAGTTCACACAGACTGATTTTTATAACATAATAATTGTAAAAGTGTATTGTAATTTCATTTTAATTGTATTTCAATGTTATCTGCATAACTGCTCAGCAAAATCCTGGAATCTAAGAGTTTATGCAGCTATTTGAGGACCCAAATAATAATTTTTGAAAGTGGAAAAGGGGGTTTCAAGTTTCATTTTCCTTTTTTGAGACTTCCTGTTAGTGAGTGCTTTTCGCTGCTTGCAGATGCAGACCTGGGTTGTGATCTGTTGGGCTATCTTTGCCGTGGTTGGTGCAGATGAGTGTCCGGATGGAGGCAGGTGTGCAGAAGGTCAAACCTGCTGCAGCAGCCCAACGAACGACTATGGCTGCTGCCCGTTTGATCAGGTACAAGTGGCTGCACAACAAATTTCTCTAAGCATCTTTCTGTCTGGGGTATCAGTTAAATGACAATGATGGGATACTATAATATGCTTTTCCTGGTACAATACAAGATAATTCTTATTACTTAGAAACTAGTTTCTGCAAATAATACAACACAGACAAACAAATAATTTGTTATTAGCATGTTACAAAATTAGTTTTTCACATTTAATTTTAATTAAGTGTACAAAACAATGAAGGAAGTGTTGTAGAACTATGCATGTGACTTGGATTAGTTTTAGTTCCTTAAATCGAATTTATGGTATGTACTCCACTCTCTCTAGTGGGATGTTGTAATAGCAAAATAAACTATGTATTTCTCTGCATTATATTCACAAACAGATACAGTACAACATATGTGACTGACTTCTGGAGTAAACATTTGTTCTGTTATTTTTCCCACAAATTTAAGCTTCCAAAGTTTAAAAGCAGAAAATATTGGTTCATGCAAAAATTATTTATTTCCAAAAAACAAATTTTTTTGTGTGAGAATTTTCGACCTACAGTCAAAACTGTCCTACAAAACCAAATTCTGATCAACATTTTGTAAATAAAGCAACAACTGGCATGAATAAAAATCTAAATTATGACATTCTTGCACCATCTTATTTGATTTTTGTGTTTATTTTAACCCTGTTATTATCTTAATAGTTGCTACATATTTTTAAAAAAGGAAGACTGAATTTTAAATTAAAATATAAGAGTTTAAGTTTAAACCGGTTGCTAGAATTAGCTAACAAACACTGGAACATCCATCATAAGAGAAACTTAAGAATGGACAAGTTCTTCCTCCTAACTTTTTATATGAAAATTATTTTATAAATTATCATTAATTTAGTATATTGCAAAAACCTAGAATAAAGACTTCTGAACAAAAATAAACAGAATTTTCCAGTTTTGATAAAATGGTAGCTAGCATTAGCTTAGCAAACAAGGAGCAGTTTGCGAAATTTGAAAAAAGTAAACAAATTCCTTCACTTGTTCATCTAAAGTATGATCTTATTAATTTTTTTTATTTTAAATGTCTTTACAACTAAGAAGAAATTAAGAGAATTTGCTTGTTTTTCTTAAAGCTTGGATTAGCTTAGCTAGCAGAAGCTTGATGTTTCACACTGCAAAAACACAAAATCCTACCAATTATTTTGTTCTAGTTCCTAGTGTAAATACATTAGTACACTTGAAATAAGCCTTTTTTGTAACTTATCAGCAAAAAATATTAGCTTGTTTTAAGTGAATATTTCTTCAAAATTTATTTAAAAAGTACTAGTTCCATTGGTAGAATATTTTACTTCCAACAAAACATTTTTCCCATGTTATACGTTAAATAATTTGTCAATGGAGCTAGTAGTTTTTGATCTAAATTAAGGAATTATTAACTTTAAATTTAGTATTAAGTCAGTTTTGTCTGAGTTCAAGTGTCCTGAGATAATTGTACTAGAAAATAGACCAAAATACTTGGTAGGATTTTGTGTTTTTGCAGTGGATGTATTTCTCTTTATGGCCCTTTAGCTTCACCTTCGCTTTAAGCTGAGTTGCTTAAGTTTTGCTCCATCAATTATTTACAGTTGCACTATTCTTATGAAAATATTTTATTACAAAAGGCTTCTGCACATCCTCATGTCACATTCAGCTATGACGTACTGTTTTATCCTTATTAGGTCCATGTCGCAGTTCACATAGCAGATAAAGTTTCTGTACTCTAAAGTAAACGTTATTCTATAGTAGCGCTATTCATTCCAGGAGGTGCTTTACTACTGTATGAACCAGATAAAAGCACTAGCTTCATTCAGAGTAGGAGATATCGGTACTAACTTTGGTAGTCAAAGTGTCCCCGCTACTCCCGTCTCCACAGGCTGAATGCTGTGAGGATCACATCCACTGCTGTCCAGCAGACACGGCCTGCGACTCAGAGGAGGCCCGCTGTGTGAACGCCACTGTGTCCATCCCGTGGATGGAAAGGACCTCCGCTCTGCAGCCGACAGTCTCTAAAGTATGAGTGCATCCTCTTGTTTTCATCCAAGCATACGTAGTTCTTATTGTAAACAACTTCACTACATCAGCATATTTTCACTCAAGTAAAAGTAAAAAGTAGCTGTTCAAGAAATGACTCAAGAAAGACTAGAAAGTATTTGATAAAAGGTTTGATCAATTATTCAAAATGTAAAAAATACATGATCAGACAGACCAGAATAACAAAAGCTGCAGGTGTGTGTCTGTTTCTGGTGAATGTTTGGTTGAAATATGTTTGTTCTTCATTCTCTGAAGTTACTCAGAGTGGGTGGAGTATCCACAAGTTTTACTCAAGTAAGAGTAGAAATACTTCATAAGAAAATTACTCAAGTAAAAATAAAATGTACAGCCTTGTAAATACTCCTAAAAGTATTTTTTTTCTTTAGAAAATGTTACTCAAGTAAATGTAGCTGAATAAATGTACTACCCAGCCCTATTACAGCTATTACTGTGTCACAATTTGAATACTTGTCCACATCATCTGACATATTTTCCTTCTCTGCCTCATCAGGGCAAATCCCAACAGCAGCCATTTTTTTAATGTACCTTGGTCTCACACCGCGCATTAGTCAAGAGTGTCCACACATTTTATTTTTGTTTGCCGTGAAGACGCGGGTTCCTCTATGCGTTGAGCATGCGTTTGTGACTAAGATGGCGCGGATCACTTTTAGTTCAGACTTGTAGGAACTATGTGTCCTCATTTGTTGTCCGTGCAGTCCTTCAGGATGATCAGGTCCTACATGGGTGAAGACGACGATAACATCTGTCCCGATCTGTCACGCTGCCCTGCTGAGTTTTCCTGCCTGAAGGCTTTGACAAAGTTTGGATGCTGTCCACTAGCAAAGGTAATCAATTTGTGTTTTAGCCTTGAAGCTGCAGTATGTAACTTTTATTTCAAAAATGTATATATTTCTTACATATTTGTTGAAGTCATGACTATGTTATGACAGGATGGTATGAGATATAATCTTTGACAAAAATTGTAGCTCCTTTGTCTTGTCCCACTCGAAACAGCCAATCAGAGCCAGAAGGCGGGTCTTAGTGCTGTCAATCATCATCTCTTCTTCTTGCTCTGTGCTAAGTTGCAGCTAGCATAGCCTGATATGAATGCTCAGAGCAGTTAGCATAGCCACTGATGGCGGATCAACTGTTTTCCTCTAACGGTGAGTTGTTCAGACATGTGGTTGACTGACAGCACTAAGCCCCTCCTCCTGGCTCTGATTGGTTGTTTTCGGTTGGAACGACGCATTTCGTCAGACTGGAATAGTAGCTGAGGGAGACGGCGAAGGAGATCGATTATCTGTCTCATCACAAACTGTCACACAATATTTACAAACCTTGTTGTTTTGGGTAAGTGAGGATTTCAGGGACGTTTTTCTAACTTGATGCCGTCCAACAGGGAGTGTCCTGCTCCGACGGGAAGCACTGCTGTCCTGAGGGCCACCACTGCAGCATCGACAGCCGCTCCTGCATCAAAAAGGGTTGGATTCATCATAATATTCGTCTTTTTCAGTCTTCCATCTTTATTTAAGGCTGCAACTAATTCACCTAAAATTCAATAACATTTTGAAGCAAGGAATTAATTTTCAGCTAAAAAAGAATAATTTCAATTATGCTAAAATCTTCCATTTACGTCAATATAGTGTATGGCGGATCTATTGACTACTTTCTGGATTCAACAATTTAATAATTGAAAAGCAAAATATGTTTTCTTTACAAATTTTGAAGCAGGTGAAGTTTAAACTGCAACTTAAGGAAGTTAGGGTAGAACATATTTACAGACAAAGGTTGCTTTCTTTATTTTAATGCAAAATGTTTATTTTTTTATTACAGTTTTAGTTTCTTGCTGCATTGACTATGTTCTGTCAGCAAATTAAATTTTTCTGAGTAATTTTAATGCAGTTCATGATTAATCGACTATTAAATTAGTTGATGATTATTTCAATCATCGATTAATCATGATTAATCGTTTCAGCTCCGTCATTATTATTTTATTTTTATAATTCTGTTGTTTTGCTTTTGGTGAAAAATCTTATGACTGTGTAGAGACGGCATGTCCAAGTAATCGGATCAGTTCACTTGCTGTGAGATGATTAATCAAATACTAAATTAGTTGATGATTATTTCAATCATAGATTAATCGTGATTAATCATTTCAGTTCAATCATTGTTGTCTTAGTTTTTGTAATTTGTTTGGTTTGCCTTTTTTTAAAGAACTCTTGACCGCCGTCCGGTGTAGCGATGGCGTTTCCGAATGCCCAGATGAAACGACCTGCTGTGAGACTCCAGAAGGCAAATGGGGTTGCTGTCCAATGCCAAAGGTATGCAGTAATCAGTCTTCACTCGTATTGCTCCACATTAGTAGTGCTTCACACTGTGAGTAAGATAGTAAAGAAGGGAAAAGTCAAATGGATGATTTGCATGACAAACATCGACTCACCTCCAAGTTATCGCGTCTTTACTGTGTCTTATCCTGGGCTGACGTGTGACTTTATTGTCCAAACAGGCTGTGTGCTGCGATGATAAGAAACACTGCTGCCCTGAAGGGACAACATGCAACATTGAACAAATGAAATGCATTTCCACATCTACCAAAAAGGAGCTGCCAATGTGGGCTAAGTTCCCTGCCAGGCAGAGAGCAGATTGGGAGAACCAGAACGGTGAGGAGTGTGTGTCATCATGAAGGGTTGATGAGCTGAACTTCACTACAATGAGGAAATGTGGGTTTTTCCAGAGGGTGAAGAAATTACCATAAAGGCAACCGGTGGGGAAGAGGCAGAGAAATGCACTGATGTTGCTACAGCCAATCCACTTCCTCCTTTGGAGGAGGAGGTGACTGTGTCATCTGTTACTAAGGCAGACGGAGGTGAAATTTCTCTTCATGTTTCTTGAAAGTTTATCAGGAAGTGCCAGTTTTACACTAAGTAACATTCACACTGTACTCAAATAAAAGTAGAATTACTTCAACATATTTTACTGAAGTAAAAGTATAAAGTAGAATTTACTCAAGTAAGAGTAAAAACTACAGCATAGTAAAAATACTCCTAAAAGTAAATATTTTCAAAAAAGTTACTCAAGTACATTTACATACATATTAAAAAGACACAAACAGATTTTTTCTCACGATCTGATGTTTAGGATAGGACTGTTTAAAAACACATTTTCCCAGCAGGAAATTTGGATCAACTAAAATCTGGTTTCTCCTCCTTCAGTCAACAATGTGCCATGTGATGAAACCGCTGCCTGTCCTGATGGCAGCACCTGCTGCAAAACCAAGGGAGGTGGCTGGGCCTGTTGTTCTCTGCCAGAGGTAAACTGGGACGATTTCTTAGAAATATTTTCAGAAAAATTATATGTGAACCTTGAAGGTGACCCGAAAGTCACATTTTTGTACTTCTGAAAACAAGACAAAGCTCTTAAATACACTTAGTCATTTTGCTAATAGGCTAATATAAACACTTAAAGCCTGTTTTGCTTTCATTATAAGCTATATATACGGCTTTTAATTTTTTGCGGCTCCAGACAGATTTGTTTTGTTTTCTTGGTCCAATATGTCTCTTTCAACATCTTGGGTTGCTGGCATAAACCATAGACCAATAATAACATGTTTAAGGAAGCATAGTATGTCACTTTTAACAGTTCACAGTGCTGCTGTTATTTATCTAATTCTTTAAGTCCACCTTGTCATCCTCAGGCGGTTTGCTGTGAAGATATGGTGCACTGCTGTCCAAAAGGAAAGAAATGTAACTTTGCAACAGGAAAATGTGAAGACGGCCTTCTCTCCATCCCCTGGTTTGAGAAGAAACCAGCGATGTCCCGTTCTGGTGTGGAGCTACAGGTGGAGCTACAGGTGGAGAATGTGCCATGTGACGAAACCGCTGCCTGTCCTGATGGCAGCACCTGCTGCAAAACCAAGGAAGGTGGCTGGGCTTGTTGTCCTCTGCCAGAGGTAAACTGGGACGATTTCTTGGAAATATTTTCAGATAAAATATATTTGAACCTTGAAGGTGACCCGAAAGTCACATTTTGCACTTTTTTGTACTTCTGTTTGGGTCTTGCTTTTTCTAACAACAGACAAAGTTCTTAAATAAATGATACAGCCATTTTTGGGCAATAAATTAATGTTTTTTGGTGTCTGGAAAACGAGCTGTTTTAAAAACTTCTGAAATATGACGTCATACTGCGCCGTTACCAAGTAATTCAAGCTAAGTTTCAACATGTACAATGGCTGCTGGAAAACAAAAGTTTAGTTGTTAAGTTACCATCCAAAAACCACTCACTGCATCATCGTTGGTTGTGCAGGGGCCCAACTTCTGCTTTTCTAATATGCTTGTTTAATTGCACCTCTCTTTGCAGTTATTTTCCCCTAATAGTGTAAATCTAAATGTTGATTAGATTGAAAGTGACAAGAGATCCTTCAAACTCAAGACTGGAATCTTATTATCTGAGTATTTATCTAATTTATGTCCACCTTGTCATCCTCAGGCTGTTTGCTGTGAAGATATGATGCACTGCTGTCCAAAGGGGAAGAAATGTAACTTGGCAGCAGGAAAATGTGAAGATGGCCTTCTCTCTATCCCCTGGTTTGAGAAGAAACCAGCGATGTCCCGTTCTGGTGTGGAGCTACAGGTGGAGAATGTGCCATGTGACGAAACCGCTGCCTGTCCTGATGGCAGCACCTGCTGCAAAACCAAGGAAGGTGGCTGGGCTTGTTGTCCTCTGCCAGAGGTAAACTGGGACAATTTCTTGGAAATATTTTCAGATAAAATATATTTGAACCTTGAAGGTGACCCGAAAGTCACATTTTGCACTTTTTTGTACTTCTGTTTGAGTCTCTGCTTTTTCTAACAACAGACAAATTTCTTAAATAAATGATACAGCCATTTTTGGGCTATAAATTAATGTTTTTTGGTGTCTGGAAAACGAGCTGTTTTAAAAACTTCTGAAATATGACGTCATACTGCGCCGTTACCAAGTAATTCAAGCTAAGTTTCAACATGTACAATGGCTGCTGGAAAACAAAAGTTTTAGTTGTTAAGTTACCATCCAAAAACCACTCACTGCATCATCGTTGGTTGTGCAGGGGGCCCAACTTCTGCTTTTCTAATATGTTGGCTTGTTTAATTGCACCTCTCTTTGCAGTTATTTTCCCCTAATAGTGTAAATCTAAATGTTGATTAGATTGAAAGTGACAAGAGATCCTTCAAACTCAAGACTGGAATCTTATTATCTGAGTATTTATCTAATTCTTTATGTCCACCTTGTCATCCTCAGGCTGTTTGCTGTGAAGATATGATGCACTGCTGTCCAAAGGGGAAGAAATGTAACTTGGCAGCAGGAAAATGTGAAGACGGCCTTCTCTCTATCCCTGGTTTGAGAAGAAACCAGCGATGTCCCGTTCTGGTGTGGAGCTACAGGTGGAGAATGTGCCATGTGACGAAACCGCTGCCTGTCCTGATGGCAGCACCTGCTGCAAAACCAAGGAAGGTGGCTGGGCTTGTTGTCCTCTGCCAGAGGTAAACTGGGACGATTTCTTGGAAATATTTTCAGATAAAATATATTTGAACCTTGAAGGTGACCCGAAAGTCACATTTTGCACTTTTTTGTACTTCTGTTTGGGTCTTTGCTTTTTCTAACAACAGACACATTTCTTAAATAAATGATACAGCCATTTTTGGGCAATAAATTAATGTTTTTTGGTGTCTGGGAAACGAGCTGTTTTAAAAACTTCTGAAATATGACGTCATACTGCGCCGTTACCAAGTAATTCAAGCTAAGTTTCAACATGTACAATGGCTGCTGGAAAACAAAAGTTTTAGTTGTTAAGTTACCATCCAAAAACCACTCACTGCATCATCGTTGGTTGTGCAGGGGGCCCAACTTCTGCTTTTCTAAGATGTTGGCTTGTTTAATTGCACATCTCTTTGCAGTCATTTTCCCCTAATAGTGTAAATCTAAATGTTGATTAGATTGAAAGTGACAAGAGATCCTTCAAACTCAAGACTGGAATCTTATTATCTGAGTATTTATCTAATTCTTCATGTCCACCTTGTCATCCTCAGGCTGTTTGCTGTGAAGATATGATGCACTGCTGTCCAAAGGGTAAAAAATGTAACTTGGCAGCAGGAAAATGTGAAGACGGCCTTCTCTCCATCCCCTGGTTTGAGAAGAAACCAGCGATGTCCCGTTCTGGTGTGGAGGTACAGGTGGAGAATGTGACATGTGACGAAACCGCTGCCTGTCCTGATGGCACCACCTGCTGCAAAACCAAGGAAGGTGGCTGGGCTTGTTGTCCTCTTCCTAAGGTTAGCAAACCAACAGTTGACCTCCAGCAAATTTGAAGAATATAGTTTCTGGAGCTGCGTTTTAGGGATTAGATAGTAGGTGTAACACGATATCTTATCTCCTGCTGATGGCTAAAAAGCTGCTTGCTGACAATAACCAGCATTGTTGTCATCATAATGTGCTAAATCGTAAAAGCATGCGCGTTTTATAAAAGAAAAAGAGACACGATGTTTTACTACTTATTGTCAACATGACAACAACTAGATAAAAAGGCCAGGAAAAAGTTTAAATTAAAAAAAAACAGTGAAGGGAAGGAGCTCAGTTATGCTAGCTTGACTTTGACAACCTTAACATTTAGATCTGTTGCAGAATTTGGTTTGTTTCGGTTCAGTAAAATAAATGCTGACCCACACAGCAACTCCCTGGCAGATCATCAGTAGAGCAGTTTTTAAATCAGCTAATCAGATTAGCTAATGTCAGCAGTAGCTAATCTGTCTCTCTCATCACTTTTTAATAACCACATTACTAATCGTATAATATAAAAAGGGTGAAAACATAAAACTGTAACGCTCTGAATGCTTTGAAATACCTTGCCAACTTTATTTATAAAGCACTTTATACACCGACAGGACCAAAGTGCTATACACAATCATAAAGTACAATGCAATTATAGAATAGAAATGATTGAATTACTATACAGACACAATAAAACAAAGTGAAACATCTCAGATTGTGCCAAAGAGAAAAGATGGGGATTAAGAAGAGAACTGAGTGAAAATCATGCCATAGTTTGGGAGCTGCCACAGAAAACGCAGGATCCCGTCAGAGCTGCTCTTTGTCTTTGTCTTCATGAAGTTTAAAAGAAATGTTTTTCGTTTGTATTGAATCCTCGTACATTATTTGCATTGTTGTCATTTTCTATATCGTCTCTTGGCATTGAATACCAGCAGAGGTTTTGCTAAATGGCTAACAAACGCTAATGTCGTTCTTACTTTCTGAAGGAAGTACAGACGCTTCCTTCAGAAGGCATCGAGTACCACCTTTAAAGAACACAATGGATTTTTAAAAGTGATCTATTGTGCTTCTTTCTCCCATGTATGTATTTTATTTTATCTGACACTTCATTTGCTAGGCGGTCTGCTGTGATGACCATGAGCACTGCTGCCCTGAAGGCACCACCTGTGACCCAACCAGCACCAGTTGTTTAAAAGCTTCAGCCTCAAGTGCCTTCATGCTGCAGGTCGCTGCGTTCACCACTCCGGTACTCACCACCACAACCCAGAGCATGGTGACAACCCCAGCAGAGACCAATGAAGAGGACGAGCGACCCACAGAAGAAGGAGATAATGAAGACGAAGAGGAGGAGAAGGAAGAAGAGAATCAGTGTGATGAACACACCAGCTGCCCTCGGGACACAACCTGCTGCTTTATGCAGTCGTCTAAGAAGTGGGGCTGCTGCCCACTGCCAAAGGTGAGTTCTGCTACTTGCTAGACCGGTTTACTTTGCTCTCATTCAAGTAGAAAGTCCGGTTCGTTTGAGGAGGTGTGAATGCATAATCGAATTCTGATACGAGCCAAACAAGTTAACTCTGATCCACCTACAACCTGGGTCTCTGTCTGGTTGAAGTGAATTCTAATGCATTTTGAACGCCACGCGGTCCAGAGACTGGTCCAGAAGCAAGAAGCGGGTTACAGGGCAGAGCATTCTGGGTAAATACAACCAGAGCAAACGTGCTAACCTAGCGCTAACAGAAAACATGGCTCACCGTCTTTTGCCGAAGAGAAAAGAGAAGTCCTACAACCGCTAAAATCCTCTTCAATTCGTTTAGATTTTGTGCAAATGGAAGATCTTCAGAGGTTATTGTTTCATCTGGTTCTTGGTGCAGCGCCCCCACAGGCGAGGAGGGGAACAGGTTTTCTAAGGTTTTCTAAGGATTTGGTTCTGTGCAGTTTGGAAGCAAAATGCTGCATTAAGGCCAATGTAGAAAAACAGATGTTTTCTACCTACAATGGATAGAAAATAATGACTCTATTGTATGAAACTGAACCGCAGCAGCTAGAATTATAGAAACTGTTGCAACTTAAGTCACCAGTTGAACCGAGTTTAACAAACTTTGAGATGTGAAAACTCTCTTGAGCTGCTGAGTTAAACTCATAAAGACTTTTGAGCCAAAGAAGTGCTGTAAAAATGTGATTCATGAATCTGAACTGCATTAATTTCTTAATAATAACGTAGTTTAAGTACCAGATTGCATCTTCATTTATTGAAGGAAAACTAGACCTGCACAGCTGATTATAGCTGACCTTCCACTGCTGACCAGATCCAACTGCACAATGGCTCTAACGTTTGAGTCTTTTGTGGTAAAAAAGAAGTTAGTTGTAGAAACGATTGTTTATACTTATTGAGCAACCGACAAAGGAAGTTAAATGTCAAAGTCATGCAAACAAGCAAGAAGAAGCTATTTAATGTAAAAGTTGCAAAACAAGAACACTGATGATTGTTATCAACATTACTGACACAAACCCCCATTATTGATCTCAAAGTTTGCAGATTCCTCAAAATAGGAAACATTTTGGTTCATTTTCTCAACTAGAGACAAATATTTACTTACACAAAATATTTCAATGATTACACTGCAATTTTGGTCTAGTTTTTAGTGGAAACATCTTAGTACACTTTAAATAAGACAAAACTAACTCATAAGTAACTTTTCAGCAAGACATTTGAGTTGTTAATAATTCCTTAATATTGATACAAAACAAAAGTACAAGTTATTAGCAAATTATTTAACTTATAACAAGATATTGCTCACCTGTTCACGTTATGTAACGGAAACTTTTCCATGAAATATTGACTTAAAACAAGCTGATAACCTGATGAAACATTACATGTAAGGAAGTTTAGCCTGTTTTCAAATGTACTAAGATATTTGCAGTAGAGCCCAGACAAAAATACTTGGTAAAAATTAGTGTTTTTACAGTGTACCTCAGACTGCTTGTTTTTTATTATTCAAAAAACACTTTTCCTAGAGTATGGTGATATTTTTTTCTATAAGTAGAAAAGCATAAAAAACATAAACACATATTATACTGAACTAAAAAAAGAAGAGAATCCAGATTTTTAAACCATTGGGACAGTTTTTGTGTTTCATATAAATGTTTTATAGAGTTGAAATTGAGTTTTGGAGCCTGCAGCATGGTAAGTATTATTTCATTTGAGTGTTTGACTCTATAAAAGCGAAACATAACACATTAGAATAGCATTTTAGCATAGCATAGCATTTTTTTTATTGTCATTGAACAGGATTCAACGAAATTTCTATTGCAACTCCCGTGCAAAAAGTCAAATATATACAATATTAAATAAACAAACACACAATAATAATAATAATAATAATAATAATAATAATATAATATATACAACTAAAATTAACTAAAGGCACTCAACCACACCAAAGAAGAAGAAGCAGCAGGTCCAATTATGGTAAAGTGCAGATGATGTGACATGCTTTGCAATAAAATCAAAACCTGCAGATTTACTATAATTAAATTTTCACAATACCACATCAGTTGTTATAATCCCCTGAGGTGTTGGCTAAAGCAGATAATAGATTATTGATTTTATTTTCTAATCTGCATACATTTGGCATCCAAGAGGCAAATTTCACCACCAGGATCTGTAAAATAAAAAGAGTCAAGTTAAAAGATGCTGCAAAAGCCACAGAGAAGATTTGAAACCATCCGGTTAATTCAGCCACTGACAACTCAGCTCATATTTCTGACCTTCAAACTTTCTTTCAGTTCTGTTTTCTATCATATGACAAAATATCTCATCACCCACACAACTGTCACACCAGAGTAGACTCAGGTGTTCAATCTGACCAAAAGAAATCTGTAATGACTTTTATCACACTTACTGGTGCTTTGAAATTTATAGAAATATAATCAAAAATTATGTTTCCCTGAAATAAATTCACACAGAGATATATATCTCATTTGTTCTTGATAATTTGCTTGATGCTTGTGGTTTACAGCTACACTGCAATATATATATAAAAAAAAAAAAAAAAAAAAATTCCCTTCTCACCCACCGCGGGTGGTTCTTATCCTCTGAGCTCGGGTCCTCTACCAGAGGCCTGGGAGCTTGAGGGTCCTGCAGTATCTTGGCTGTGCCAAGGACTGCACATTTTTGGACTGAGATGTCTGATGTTGTTCCTGGGATCTGTTGTAGCCACTGCTCCAGTTTGGGGGTTACTGCCCCGAGGGCCCCGATGACCACAGGCACCACTGTGGTCTTCACCTTCCAGGCCCTCTCCAGTTCCTCCCTGAGGCCCTGGTATTTCTCTAGTTTCTCGTGCTCCTTTTTCCTGATGTTGCAATCACTTGGTATTGCTACATCTACCACAACGGCTTTCCTCTGATGTTTATCCACTACGACAATGTCTGGTTGGTTCGCCATTACCATTTTGTCTGTCTGGATCTGGAAGTCCCACAGGATCTTAGCTCTGGCGTTCTCCACCACCTTTGGGGGTGTTTCCCACTTTGATCTTGGGGTTTCCAGTCCATATTCTGCACAGATGTTTCTGTACACTATGCCTGCCACTTGGTTATGTCGCTCCATGTACGCTTTCCCTGCCAGTATCTTGCACCCTGCTGTGATGTGCTGGACTGTCTCAGGGGCCTCCTTGCACAACCTACACCTTGGGTCTTGTCTGGTGTGGTAGATCTGGGCCTCTATTGCTCTGGTGTTTAGGGCCTGTTCCTGGGCTGCCAGGATGAGGGCCTCTGTGCTGTCCTTGAGTCCAGCTTTTTCCAGCCATTGGTAGGATTTACTGATATCAGCCACTTGGGTTATTTGCTGGTGGTACATCCCATGTAGGGGCTTGTCCTCCCATGATGGTATCTCTGGCACCTCAACCTCCGTTCCCTGTTGTCTGAGACATTCACTGAGCACATTGTCTGTTGAGGCTTTGTCCCTGATGTATTTATGGATCTTAGTTGTTTCGTCCTGGACAGTGGTTCTCACACTCACTAGTCCTCTGCCTCCTTCCTTGCGGCTCGTGTACAGTCTCAGGGTGCTGGATTTGGGATGGAACCTTCCATGCATTGTTAGTAGCTTTCTGGTCTTAATATCTGTGGCTTTTATCTCCTCCTTTGGCCAGCTAATTATTCCAGCAGGGTATCTGATTACTGGCAAGGCATAGCTGTTTATCGCACGGATTTTGTTCTTGCCATTGAGCTGGCTTCTCAGGACTTGCCTTATTCGTTGGAGGTATTTAGCTGTGGCTCCTTTCCTTGTGACCTCATCGAGGTTGCCATTTGCTTGTGGTATACCTAGGTACTTGTAACTGTCCTCTATATCTGCTATTGTTCCTTCTGGGAGTGAGACCCCTTCTTATATATATATATATATATATATATATATATATATATGTTTTCTTTTTTTGTCTAGATTTAAGACCCAATTTCTTAGTACAATCGAAATAAAACAAAACTAACTGGGAACATTTCAGCAAGAAATATGAGCTTGTTTTAAATAAATAATTCCTTAATATTGATTTTAAAAAGTTCCAGTAGCAGATTTTATACCCATAACCAAACATTTTATAAGTGAAATAATCTGGCAACTGAAGCATTGAGTTTTTCTAACCAATACTAAGGAATTGTTGTCTGAAAAGTTACTTGTTAGTTTCATCTCAGTTAAAGTTTACTAAGATATTTGTAATAGAAAAACTGTATAATAATAATAACTGGTCATATTTAATCTACATTAGATATGATGTAGATTATCTAATGTTTGCCATTTTCCAAAATAGTTAGAATTAACAGTAATAAGTGCCTGAAAACGATTACACTGTGTAATTAAATGCTTGTGTTTCGCTTTTTGATTTAAATACTGTCATGTGATTGAAGTGTCTTATTGTCAAATCATGGCACAGGAAGTGGTGAATTTAAATTTAAATGCATCTCTTCTTCCTGTGACTGAGAGTTCGGTCTTACTACTGAAGAAAGCAGAAGCACCAACCCGGCCGCATGGCCGATGTGAAAGTCACACTTCCAACTCTCACTTCTTCTACCAGGCCGTGTGTTGCGCCGACGGCGACCATTGTTGCCCGGAAAACTACAAATGCAAGGAGGACAAGACGACGTGCGTCAGAGGGGAAGTGGAGATCCCGTGGTACACCAAACTCCCCGCCATTACCAGCGTCCAGGTTGATCCCAACGACGTCCAGTGCGACGCCGGCCACCAGTGTCCTGAACGCACCACCTGCTGCAAGCTGTTCACCGGCGAGTGGGGCTGCTGCCCGCTGCAAAACGTGAGATTACCGGGCGATTCCGAACCTCCGCCATGTTGAAATCAGCGTCCGTTAGTGATGTGTGGATTGATACTCCAATATCAATATCTCCCGATACTTTAATAATTTAGTTACTTTCTAACGTGCTCTTAATAAGCTTCATTATCTCAAAGTATTGACATTTGGATTTGAGAATCAAATTGTAAGCATAAAAAGTTCCAGTTTGATTTTATGCTTCTTATGCAGCAGGGTTTGCTGATGTTTTCTGGTGTTTTCTGCTCAGGCGGTGTGCTGCTCAGATAAGGAGCACTGCTGCCCGGAGGGCTACACCTGCGACGTCGTCTCCAATTCCTGCCAGAAGCTCGTCTTGCTGCAGCTGGAGACGCTCCCGCTGACACCAGTGTTCCTGCCTGAGTACCATCTTCAGCTCACGCCGCTGAAGCACAGAAACATCCAGTGTGACGGGCAGACAAGCTGCCCGGACGACAACACCTGCTGCAGGACGTCTGCCACCACCTGGGGCTGCTGCCCGGCTCCTCATGTAGGAAACACTTCACTGTCACCTTGAATCGTGCATTTATTTGGCATAATTAGTAAATAAGTTGTGAAGTCAGACTAAGTTCTTTAATCACAAATTTATCTTAACAACTCTCCAGTATTAAGTTTCTGATCCATTTGACGCTGCAGACTCCAGAGGTTGATCACTAGACCAGATGGATATTTTCTGGATTTCTAAGCACAAGTACAGAAAAAGATCAGTGCCACCAAAAAAATTAATACATTCTGTCTTTACTCTCAAAATTCTGATTCTAATTATTTATCTTATTTCATTTGTCACAGAGGTCCTTTTTAAATTATTTCCACTTCTAGTTAACAAATTTCTGAGCCTACGTTTACTTGTGCTTTTCTTGAGAGAATGTTTTACAGTGAAATTGTACGATAATGACAACAAGACCTCATTTTCTATTGTCTGACATTAAAGTTTGCTTGATTATATAAAACATGAGCAACAAAAGTCAAGGTGTGAGCCATAGAACTGTATCATAGAAATGCTTTAAATGCTATGACGTTGCATGGAGTTATTTAACCCAGAGCGCCCTCTGTTGGCCGTGCAGGCGGTGTGCTGCAGCGACATGAAGCACTGCTGTCCAGCTGGCTCCACCTGCACAGAGGAAGGATCCTGCGTCCAGAACTTCGGCCTCAACTGGAAGACATGGGGCATGTTCTCCGACAACAAGAAGAGAGCTTTAATTCTATGAAAACATGCTGAAATTAATTTCTACTTGAAGAAAAATAAATATAAAATAAATTTAATACTTTGTGCTAAATGGTGAACAGTAGAACTGAATTGCACTTAAGGAGGCTGTTAGGGGAACATGAGCTTGGATTGAAAAGTTTCTGTCTGCATGTTTGGTGCAACAGAAGGTTGTTTTTCTCCTGCAGACACAGTTTAATACATGAAACTCTAACAAATCGAGAAAAAACTGAAACACTCCGAATGCAACGTAAATTTTCTCACTAAATCATTGTTGTCATGATCTGCTGCAGCTGCCTTTTGTTCACAAACTGCATTCCTGTCAATAATCTGCAATTTTTCTCCAAATCAATAATAACCAGTAACAGTTTGGAATTAACTGTTACATTGAAATGATTAACATTCATTTTGTTGGTAAATCAGCTTGAGACTTTATATTGAATTGAAAAAAAAAAGTGTGGATTGGTTATTCATTTAATTTTTCTCATCAATCAAACTCATTGATTTGGGGCAAAACTATGAATTTAATTGTTGAAGCTTAATTAAAAAACAAATCTGTGTTTTCCATGAAACTAATAAACAAAAAATTACATTAAAATGTTTTTTTTCTCATTTTTTGTGTGTAATAACATGATAAATATAATTTTAAACTAAACCTGCATTATTAAGAAAACCATTTTGTTTTTAACCCTCTTAATTCATTTTGTTGATTAAAATAAACAGCTATTGGTATGTGAGCTTTATAGACAATATGTTTGCAATTGGTACCAAAATCCCAGGTTTATCGTATTGAGGGGCCTGAACATTAAAAAAAAAAACTTTTTTCTTTTAATTAGAATTGTTAAAGCTATTTTTATTTTTTCACTTTTATTTGCAATATTTACAGTAAACTAAAAATACAGTTTGTTAATAATACAAGATATTAGCGTCTGATTTTTGTCTTAATGGGATTTGTAAAACATTTTTGTTATGATACATGAATAGGATTTTAAACATTTTCATGGTTACAATAAAAAAATATATAAATCAAATGGCCAATGCAATATTTTTGGGTTTATTGTCTGTAAGATTTTTGTTTGTGTGTTTTTTAGGTAGGTTTACTTTAGTTTGGGTTCCCACAAGTCTGCCGTTCAATGAAAATCAATCTGTTTTCAAATTAAATTCAAAAATACCCTAAAGGAATGCCATAAATTAAGAAAAAACATTACATTTGTGACCCTATTAACTATTGAATTAAAAGCAAAAACAGGCAGATAAAAAATAGCTTACATAATGTCTTTTATTTTGTACATCCCATATCAAGTCTTTATGTCAGTGAAAATTGCATTGACAGTTTGGTCTGTTGATTTCAAGATCACACTGATCTTGAATTCTACAAAATCATTCCGAGGTCCACATACGGCCCTCACACCATACTTTGAATTCCCCTTGTGTCAAAAACTACTGCCCCCTACTGACCAACCTACGAACTTGTATAGGATCACAAAAATTGCAGCACATCTGGTGGATCGGAACAAATTCCTTCTGTCTTATTCGGAAAAAAGATCAGTGTCACTTGAAAGGGATTTCAATGGAAGCCCATCCATGCCAAAAATGAAAACACAAACGCCTGCAGGAAGTCATAATTTTTGATAGACTGGAGTAACCCCCCCTAAGAGAAACTATTTGCAAATTATGACGTTAAATCTCGAAATTATGACTTTTATTCTCATAATTATGACTTCAACACTCATAGTTATGACTTTTCTCTGTCTGTATTTTTATTATTTTGACCCTTATTCTCGTAATTATGACTTTAAAAGCTCTAAATGATTACTTTTTCTCATAATTTTAACTAAAACTCGAAATTATAACTTTTTCTCCTAAATATAACTTTAATTCACAAATTATGACTTTTGTTCTTATAATTATGATTTTAAAATTTGTAAAATTAAGAGCTTTAACTCATACAAATGTAACTTGTAAAATTATAAATTTAAAACTCACATTTATAAGACTTTTTCTTTTGTTTTTGTGATTATAAAATTCAAAATTTGACTTCCTGTTTGGCTTTAATTTTTTGGTTCATGGCAGAAATGGGCTTCCATAGTTGTAGAACTGGGGCAGCAGTGGTTTTTACCAGAAATTGTTCATTTAATTGTGATTGGAGAAAAAACTAGCTTTGAAGCTCCTCAGCAAGTTGCTGTTCACTGACATATTTCCTAAAGAAATCAACACACTTCTGGTATATTTCCTACCAATCATTCAGGCAGATTTTGGAACCTAAAGCTGTGTTTTGGGGAAAATGTTTGTGGGTCTCAACAGCTGATTTAGTTTGTGATGTTCTGATTTATGTTATGGATATGTGCAATTCATTGCCCACCACTAGAATGAAATTCTTATTTAATTGGAAAAATGAACTGAAATGCACTGATGAATTAACACTTTGACCTACACATATTGTCGAGCGGAAATTGGCAAGGTAGGCCCACATAACACAGAGCTAGCGAGTGTTAGTTAATAACACAAAGCTAGCGAATGTTAGCTAATAACACAAAGCTAGCGAATGCTCGCTAATACCACAAAACTAGCGATTGTTAGCTAATAACACAGAGCTTGTGAGTGCTAGCTAATAACACAGAGCTAGCAAGTATAACACACAGCTAGCGAGTGCTCGCTAATACCACAAAGCTAGCGATTGTTAGCTAATAACACAGAGCAAGCAGATGCTAGCTTATAACACAGATCTTGTGAGTGCTAGCTAATAACACAGAGCTAGCAAGTGCTAGCTAATAACGCAGAGCTAGCGAGTGCTAGCTAATAACACAATGCTAGCGAGTGTTAGCTGATAACACAAAGTTAGCAAATGCTAGCTAATACCACAGAGCTAGAGATTGCTAGCTAATAACATAAAGCTAGCGAGTGTTAGCTAATAACACAGAGTTTGCGAGTTCTAGCTAATAACACAGAGCTAGTGAGTGCTAGCTAATAACACAAAGCTAGCGAGTGCTAGGTAATAACACAAAGCTAGTGAGTGCTAGCTAATAACACAGCATGCGATTGCTAGCTAATAACACAGAGCTTGCGACTGCTAGCTAATAACACAGAGCTTACAATTGCTAGCTAATAACACAGCACTAGTGAGTGCTCGCTAATAAAACAGAGCTAGCGAGTGCTAGCTAATAACACAAAGCTAGCGTGTGTTAGCTCATAACACAAAGCTAGTGAGTGCTAGCTAATAACACAGAACTAGCAAGTGCTAGCTAATAACACAAAGCTAGCGAGTGCTAGCTAAAAACACAGCTTGCCATTGCTACCTAATAACACAGAACTTGTGATTGCTAACTAATAACACAGAGCTAGCAAGTGCTAGCTAATAACACAAAGCTAGCGAATGTTAGCTAATAACACAGAGCGTGCGAGTGCTTGCTAATAACACAGAGCTAGCAAGTGCTAGCTAATAACACAGCGCTAGTGAGTGCTCGCTAATACCACAAAGCTAGCGAGTGTTAGCTAATAACATAGAGCTTGCGAGTGCTAGCTAATAACACAGAGCTAGCAAGTGCTAGCTAATAACAGAGCTAGCTTATAACACAGAGCTTGCGAGTGCTAGCTAATATCACAGAGCTAGCAAGTGCTAGCTAATAACACAGAGTTAGCGAGTGCAAGCTAATAACAGAGTTTGCAAGTGCTAGCTAATACCACAGAGCTACCCAGTGCAAGGTAATAACACACAGCTAGCAAGTGCTAGCTAATAACACCAAGCTAGCAAGTGCTAGCTAATACCACAGAGCTAGCGAGTGCTAGCTAATAACACAGTGGTAGCGAGTCCTCGCTAATACCACAAAGCTAGCGAGTGTTAGCTAATAACACAGAGCTTGCTAGTGCGAGCTAATAACACAGCTAGCAAGTGCTAGCTAATAACAGACCTAACGAGTGCTAGCTTATAACACAGAGTTTGCGAGTGCTAGCTAATAACACAGAGCTTGCGAGTGCCAGCTAATAACACAGAGCTAGCGAATGCTAGCTAATAACACACAGCTAGCAAGTGCTAGCTAATAACACAGAGCTTGTGACTGCTAGCTAATAGGACAGAGCTAGCGAGTGCTAGCTAAAAACACAGAGCTAGCCAGTGCTAACTAATATCACTGACCTCGTAACAATGGGCCACTGTGACCTCCATGTGCAATAAAGGCCTTGCATACAAAAGCAAGAAACTTAAATAAGTTGAATTTATTGCTTGTTTTTTTCTGACTTGGCCAAATAGAACTTTTTAAGTGATTTTGGAAAGCCCTGCCTACAAGGGCCAAGCCATTCTTAAATATTTTGGATGCATTTTTCTTCTCATAGCTTTCTCGCTGGCTCACTCTAATTCTACAGCCTCATCCCAGCCAGTCATCCGAACTTCACGAGCATCCTCTTTTCAGGTCAGTCATAGTTCCCAATGACAACTTCTTTTTCTCATCATCTGGTGGTTCCAACTCCCATTAAGGAGGCATACAAGCAGTGAGTTCACAGACATGCACATTAAGGAGGTCCACGTCATCTACACAAGCTGTCAGTTCAGCACAAGCGACAAGATAAAACCAGCCAACTCTTATTGTGATACATGACCGGTCACTCATGCTTGTCACAGTTTCTATGCATAATTACTGCCTCCTGTTTCTTGCTACTCCGACTGCTAACCAGTCTGACCATCGCCGGCAATAAGGCTTACGAATCTCTAACCTCTCTGTCATGTGGCTGATTACCTAAAAGCGTTCTTGGTAATCCCTTTGTTGACACTGCCCCTTCTAAGGGCTGGTAATCCGGGGTGATGATGAAGGAAAAACAGCATGGCCTTCAGCTTCGTTTGGCCCGAGTGCAGTGCTCACCGGAGCAACCTGTGGCCTTTTATTAGCAGATTTCGCCCACTTGTGTAAATCTCCACCCACAACAGGAAGTCAACGAGAACATCAACAATAAGATTCCACACCCTTTCTGTCAATTGCCACCATCCGTTTGTGCTGGACATATGGCGATCAGTCATTCGGCGTCCCAACAGAACGCGATCCGCCGATGTGACTCATGGTCTCGCGTACCTGCTCTAGTTTCCTGCTTCAGCAGGAATCCTGACTTATTCAACCCCGCTTTACTTGTTTTCCAAATAATTATTTTTGGGGGGGCTTACAGGATGGCTGAAGGTTCCTATAATCTACTTCCATAAAGTCATGCTCCTCTCTTAGCAATCCAAACTTCATCTCATTGCCCTCAGTACAAAATGAAAACACTCAAGGACCTCGAGAAACATAACCATGCATCTATCTGTAGTCGCATTAATTTCTGCAGCAGCGTCTTAATTAAAACCAGGGAGATGCAGCACACCAGTTCTAAAGTCATTCCATCTGGCAGCACAGCTTACGAACCTCAAACACTGTTGGTTCGTAAGTTTCTGATAGGTCCAGCACCTCGACGCATTGAACA